TTCAGTTTGGAACAGTTCTTCCTTTCACTTCAAGATTTTTCGAGTCCTCTTGGCTTTATATTGTGTATGTCCCACTTGGGCTGTGTTCCCTCTCTTCTTCCCTCTTAGATGGAAGAGAGGACACTTCATATTTGCGGCCCGGGAATCAGGTACAGCCAGGGATTTGCTCTCAGATTGTATTCTTGTGTGTCATAGGAAGCCAAACAGTCACAATAGAAGTGCTGAGTAGCTCTCACAGCCAACCAGCCATGGTGCTGTAATTTCCATATATTGCATTTGTTTGTTTTGCACTGGAAGCTCAAGCCCAATAGGAAATCAGATACTGCACACCTTACTGGGTGTCATTGTGTCTGCATTTGCTTGAGGGTCAGAGTGTCCAGTTCCTACTCAAGAGGTCATCGAATATGGATTCATCCATGGGAAGGCTGTCTTCACCCTTCCTGCCGGCAATTATAACTCTTGCCTTGATGAGAAGAAGAAGTCAAGGGCTGGCCAACTGGGGCTCTGACAGCCCCCTGTTCTTCCAGAGTCTTGCTTGTTGGGACCACGCTCTCTCAGCACTGTGCCTCCCAATTTTCTATGATTGTTGGTAAATTGCAAAGAAATTAAGAAGACAAAAAAATGCTATCTGTATTAGTTAATTTACTGTTGCTGTGATAAAATACCAAGCCCAACAAGACTTTAGAGGAGAAAAGGGTTTTTTTGGGTTTATGACTACAGAGGCATGGAGTCCTTCCTGACAGAGAAAGCATGGGAACAAGGACAGCAGTCAGGGAGAGCAGGAAGCTGGCTATAGTGGGAAATTACCAATACGGAGTCAGGTAGAAATATAAGGGTATTTAATAGGGAAAAGCCTTACTTACAGAGCGAACCAGCCAGCCGGTTGTAGTCTGTACAGCAAGCAGCAAAGAGAGAAACCGAAACCGAAACCGAAACGCAGTCCCCCTACTCACTCTGACCACGCCCCTAAGAAGGCGTGGCTACAGCTTCCCCTACAGCTGGCTGGTCACATTTTTATCCATACAAAAGGAGGAGGGGGGGAGAAGAAGAGGACGAGGAAGGAGGATGAGAAGGAAGAAGAAGAAGAAGAAGAAGAGGAGGAGGAGGAGGAGGAGGAGGAGGAGGAGGAGGAGGAGGGACAAAGCTATAAAATAAACCCTGAAAGCTTGACCCCCCAGTGACACATTTCCTTCTGCTATTTTCCATCTCCTAAAATTATCTGGATACTGGGGACCCAGCATTCAAATACAAGAGCCTATGAGGAATCTTTCTTACTATTTTATGTTGTATGTCTAAGCTTTAAAAGCTTTGCTATGTAATAAGCCAGAATAACCTCAAAGATTTATGACACAGATATTAGTATTTTATTTGCCCAAATGGAGCTTTTCAAACTACTACCTGTTTATGCCTTCATTTGGCCATTTGCCACTCAACAAGTGTTTATTGGGGGCCTGTGTTGTGCTGGATTTGGGGGATAAGGCAGGGGTATGGACAACCAAGCCCCAGCTCACGGAGCCCACCTCACTCTGGCAAGGACAAACATTTAGTCTAACAGCTACATTAACTAGTATGAACTTACAGCTAAGTATGTGAGAAGCAGATTAGAAGCTGTAACAGAAAGCTTCTTGATAAAGTCTTCCTAGGTGAGCCTGTGTATGTCTCAGCACATAAGCACATGTATAGATTGTGGATGCCAGAGGGCAATCCTGGGTATCATTCTTCAGGTGCTGTCTACAATTTTTGGTTTTTGTTTTTTGAGACAGGGTCTTGCTGGCTTAGAGCTCTTTAAGTAGGCTAGAGAGAGCTCTCCAAATAGCCAGACAGCTCCAGAAATATGCCCCCCCATCTCTGCCTCCCCAGTCCTGGGATTGCAAGACTGTACCACTATACCTGGCATTTTTTTTTTAAATATGGTGGTTTCTGGGATTGAACTAAAGTTTTTCTTGCTTGCAAAGCAGACACTTGAATCACTGAGCCATCCCCACCAAACCCTTTCAAGAAACTTTTAACACCAACAGTGAAAGGCTGAATCTTAGAATAAAGGTCGTCACTTGACACAGAATGGACTTTGCACTTAGAAAAGTATTCTGTGTTCATAGTACTGTGCTAGTGTTTAGATCTGCGGTTTTCCAGAAGAGTGAGAGGCCTGTGCTTGCACATATGGAGGAAGGTGGCATGGTAATGCCAGCTGCTCTCAGTGGAGCCCCCAGAAACTACATGAGAGGTCTCAAATATTGACCCATTTACAAGAACAATAGGTGACAACTTTCTTTTTAAAAGAATAACAAAAATGGATGCTATGCAGTCAAGGAGCTGCAGGTTGGCTTGCAAAGCAATACGTGTTCACCACAAGCCCAGGTGACAAGCAATGAGCTCCACCTCCTGCCTCTACATCTCAGGATCAGATGTGCTCTCTGCTGTGGAGATTGCATGTTTAAGTTCTAGGACAGGCTCCAAAGCAATACAGAGAAACCCTGTCTCGAAAAACCAAATAAATAAATAAATAAATAAATAAATAAATAAATAAATAAAATGGAAGTATGGGCTAAGGAGATATCCCAGTAGATAAAGCAGTCTCCATGTATGTGTGAGGACCATATATGCTCTAATCCCCAGAACCTACATAAATCTGAGTGCGGAGCACAGGCCTGGAATCCCAGAGCTGCTACAGTGAGAAGGGGCGTGGAGTCAAAAGAATCCCATAAGCTCCTAGGCCAGCTGCTCTGGCTTATACAGCAGCAAACAAGCGAGGGGACCCTGTCTCTTCTACAAGGTAGAAGTCACGGACAGACATGTGCACTGTGCTATAGGCTTACCTGTGCTCCTCTCTCTCTCTCCTCTCTCTCTCTCTCTCTCTCTCCCTCCCTCCCTCTCTCTCTCTCTCTCACTCCCTCCCTCCCTCATTCTCCCCTTCCCTCTCTCTTGCATGCATACAAGAAACAAAGAATGAATTGAAATCCTCTGTTAATAAATATTACTTTTAAGGAAAATCTGAAACGCTCAGTGTTACCAAGTCAGAAGTTCAGGGATGACTTTACTGTGTGCTTCACAAAGCAGGTGCTCAAATCAGAATGTCTGATATGTTTATACTGTGCTGTTGGATCTTTTAAAAAGAATTGAAATTAACAGCTGATTAGATGGGGGCTGATACAGGAAGACATGGGGAAGATGATAAAGTGAGAGTTTCCAAACAGAAAATGTGTTCTATAATAAAAACTCCATTCCATCGGGGCTGCCTCAGCAAGACTCGGGGCTTATTATTCTTGAAATATACTGGGGCTTTGGATGATAAATGCAAACATAAGTTATGGATAGGTGCTTTGGAAGTAAATATGTGGGAGGATTTCTTCTACCTGAGAATAAACTACATCAGCTGGAAAAAAAATACAGTGACTGTAGCAATTCAAATTTCCATTAAAAGATGAAATGGCTTGAGTCCTGTTAGGGATACACAAATAAATATGTACTCAAGAAGGGATTGTATCTACAGGAAATTGAAACATGCTACAAAGCATGGTGAAATGTGGGTTGTCACAAATGGGTTATCATGCCTGTAGGGGAAAGGGGAGGAAGGAGTAGAAAATTCTAGGTATGGATCCCCAAAAGTTCTTGACACCCCAATGTTAGAGCTGTAGGAGATGCATCAATGGTGATTTGGGGGTTTGCTTTTAGCACTTGGGAGAACTTGGCTTTAGAAACAGCACAGCTGCTTGGGGCACTTGTTTTCTATCTAGCTAACTTCTTCCTGTCCCGACCGACGGTTCACTTGCCATTCCCAGGCAAATTTTTTGGATGGCAAAGTGGCTATTTTGGTGAATCTAGGTACTTACTTAAAAGTAGGTAAGCGGTACAGTTATTTTTTTCTAACACACACTACCTTGAGATTAACTTTGAGGCAAGGAAGTCTAATTCTGAACCCTGGTTCCCAAAGCTTGTTGACTAACAAGCCTTGCAGCCTGGCCTGTGGGTCCCCTTGGTCCAATTCCCATCTTTTGGAGACCTGACTAGTGCTCATGTCTTAGCAGAGTTACCATGGTGGGGTGTATTTGACCTTCTCTGGGGGGGTCCTGGTTACAAGAAGTCTCTGGCTAAGGGTAGAATCATTAGGACACTTCAATATGTAGGCTTTCCTGTCTTGGCCACACATGAGTGGAGATGCAGGTACAATGTTTCTGTTGTGACTCAAGCGTCTTACTTCACGAGTAATGATACTAAAAAGTCATCCAGCCAGTAAAGAGCTTGCTATGCTAACTTGCCAACCTGAGTTCAATCCCTGGAACCGATGTAAAAGTCAAAGGAGAAAACTAACTCCACAAATCGTCCTCTGACTTTCACATACATGCTAACACACACACATACACATACACACATACCATATACATGCACAATAATAATAAAATTTATTTTTAAAAGTCATGTCTTGCATCAAAAGTGATGCCTGGCAAAGAGTTTGTGATTGTGAGAGAGTGTCTAAGAGCTCCTAGTAGCTGGGTTGCTACTGGTTCCTGTGGGAGTCCTCAAATGCCAGTGCCCCCACCCCTACTCCAGCATGCATGTCCAATTGGATGCCTCAGCTGTCAATCAAAGCCCTTTGAAAAGGGAGCACTTACATGCACACCAGCATAGCCTGAAACATTGAGAGTAAATTATGGGCAAGACAACATGTTCAGTCTTTCTGTTTGTTTGGTTTTGGTCTTTGGTTTTTCCAGACAGGGTTTTCCTGTGTAGCTTTGGAGCCTGTCCTGGAACTTGCTTTGTAGACCAAGCTGGTCTTGAACTCATAGAGATTCACCTGCTTCTGCCTCCCTAGTGCTGGGATTAAAGGCACCACTGCCTCCGGGGCTTGTTTGTTTCTTAGAAAATAGTTAGGGTAACTGACCAGTGTGACTAGCCACGCCTCTTCTCTCATTGTCTGAGATTGCAGTGTCCCTTTTAGCACACTCATCACTCTTCAGTGTCTGACCTGTCCCCACTCACCGTTCACACCCTTGTCTCCGCAGATGGTGTTTTGTTTCTCACCAGTTGGTCACACCCTGCGAGTTAGAGCCCGGAAGTTCCCAGCCATAGTTAACTGCACAACTATTGACTGGTTCCATGCATGGCCACAGGAGGCTCTGGTCTCAGTTAGCAGGAGGTTCATTGAAGAAATAGAGGGGCTTGAGGTACGTACCTACATTGTGTCATCCTGAGGTGAGTAGGCACCCAGGCGTGCAAGAGTCTCGGTACACTATCGGCAGGCAAAATATCAGCCATTGTCACTTTTAGAAATGTATACCTGTTTGCTTCTTTTATGTTGTTTTCCATTCTTTCTGGCTTTTTGTACATCGTCAGGGATGGAACTCTGGCCTTCTGGGGTTATGGGTTATATTTGTCCCTTCTTGATAAGGTTGGTACCTCTACATTTTCAAATGTCTGTGTGAAACAAGTGGCAACAACAAAATACCCTTCCACCACTCAGGTACACAGACAGAGTAAAGAAAGTAACTGTGAAGCAAGACCCCAGATATCCCAGATGGGAAGCTGGGCTCTCGTGCCTTTCTGGTTAGGGAGACTCTGTTGGAGCATGTCACCAGAGAGCTGTGTCCTTACCTCCCTTTGAGCAATCAGGTGGGAGTACCCAGAGCAGGCCCAGAACTACTGGAAGGGACAGAAAAGAAGTTAATGTCTCAATCAGTCCTCATCATCTCCTCTACTGCAGATCCATCCCCACCCCCTTCCAAAGTAGCATTGCCATGCTTTGTTAAATACTGTGTTCTCAGAGGTCAGATGGTTAGAATATGGGTACATTTATAAAGAGGGCGAGTTAGTATGCAGCTAGCCTTATTGGTTGGTATATCACTTTCCTTTTGCTTCTACTTAAAAAAGGAAAAACTGCACAGGTTCGTACATCACAAGGAGGGTGAGAAGCGTTCACTTCTACAGACAGCATTTTATAGAGGGAAACAACACTTCGCCTTTAGGTTTGTTTTTTTTTTTTTTTCTAAAAAAAGTCTGTGATTCTGTTCATCACTGGATGGCCAGTAGAAGCAACGTTCAACATGGAAGACACACCTGGGCTGGGAGCACTCGTCTGCCTCCTTTTTCCTTTGCTTTTCCACAGTCCCATGACCAGTACATGCATAACAAGACAGAATAGAAAATGGGGTGGGGACAAGTAGACCTTCACATCTAGAAAGCCATTAATTAAGGTAGAAGTCATTCCTTGAGCAATCGTGTAGCTCCTCATATTGCTGAGGTACTGGGGTATCATCTTGTTTCCCATCCGTGAGGACAGGGGCTGGAAATTCTGAATCTCAGGGAGTCAGTGTATACAGTGTTCTAATAGCAGGTTCCTAGCTTGCTTGGTTCATTTTATCAGGCTGAAAACGGAAGGAGTAATTTGGTTTCTGGGTATTGTTCGGATTCTCCTCCGTTGGTAGATCTGAGCTAGCAGCTCGATGGATGGAAGCATGTGCACAGCCTGGAAGGGTTGCCCATCTTGGCTGCCCTGTGTCTGCATCTGCTTTCTCCCATCCAGCAGCAGCTCAGCCTGGCCAGGGACTGTTGACACCTGCTGGACGAGGTGGGCTTTGCAGTCCTGAGGGCTGCACAGGTGCTTAGTCCCGTCTGACAGTGTCATGCCGCCTCCTATAGGATCTCGGGTGCTAAATAGGAATGTTTTTCTGAGCATTTCAGCATTTCCATCAGGCTGCATTATGCCTGCAAACAAATTAGCCAGATGATTTCCTTTCCGTGTAAGGTGCTTATTTAACTTCTCCACCTTCCTAATTTGTCACACGGGAACACGGCACTAATTATAGTTCTGGGTACAGTGCGTCCGCATCTTCCTAAACACGCGTGGTGTCTTTTCCGTAGAGGTCAGAAGCAGGTTTTAAAATTTTGAATGAGTGCTAATTTGATCGCTCTCTTAGTTTTAATTTCCGTCACCAAGACTGAAAGTTACCTGCGTGATTTGGGCACTTCTTAATTATTGATCTCACTGGGGAGAGGTGGGGTGGAATGAACTTATGCAAGGTGATCCCCCTTTGGCCACAGAGAAAAGATTCATTAGCGACCCACCCTTTTATATATGTTGACGTGTAATTTCCCACCAGTACATACTCAGCACCTAGGGCTATGCTGCAGGCTGACTGTGTTTAAGTAAACGGGCATGCTATTTTTATTTTTCTGTTACCTGATACTGAACCTAATGACAGGTGACAAATAAATGACCAAAACAGTCTGGCACTTAAGTGTCACTGTGTTATTCACCAGACACTTGTGTCTACACTTGCTGCCTCTCCCTGGAAGTGGGGAAACAGTGATGAGAGGGGTGATCTAAGGTAGGAGGAAGGGACAGTCTGCAGATTGCTAGGAGGGTGGGTTACCAACGCAGAGAGAAGCATGAAGGGAATGCAACAGGGTGAAGGCCTTACTGGTTAGTGCACAGGCTCTGGTTAGGATCTTGTAGGGTAAAAGGTAGATAGATGGTACCAGGACCTTAAGAGAAAAGCACTGTTCTTGCTTTTTAAGGCAAAATGAGCCTTAGAGAGAGCTGAAAGCAGGGCCAAATGAAAGGACAAATTCTAAATGTAAATTTAAAAGATGAGCTCTCTGGTGAGGAGTTCTGTGATGGAAAGTGCGAGGATGGAAGCAGCCCATTTGTTTCAGGAATGGCGGCTGAATGACAGAGGAAGGTCTGTCCTTCTGGGGCAGTGCTTGAGAGTGGTCTCACAGTTCAATACCATGTCACATTACAGTTAAATGCAGTGTTGCTGCCATGTCTGCCATGCTGAGAGAGCGTAGTAGCATGGAGTGGCAGAAGTGATCCACTCAAATAGAAAAGTTACCTCTCTGCCATATTTAGACTAGATATTTCTCCAGTGGTCTATAGATTCTTTTTAAAAACAATGTATACCACAATAAAAACAAAGTGTTACATGTGTGTGTCTAGTAAAAACACACACACACACACACACACACACACACACACACACACGTGCCAAACAGAAGAGCATTACATTATCTCTTTGATAATAGCTCTGCTATACTGATGATTTGGGCCACAATTCTTTCTTTGCAATGTTAGTTCCAAGTATTATTGTTAACTTAACATGCACAAAGTTGACCATGCCATATATTAATCCTACTTGGGTAAAAATGCCACTGGAAGAGTACAGATACTAGCTGGTAGCCCTGGTGAACTAGGTTTGGCCCCACAAACTCAGTTCAGTGATTAAAGAAACACAGAATGTGGAATAGAAAAGAGAGTTGCTTAATGTGGTCACATTGTAGAAAATAAGAGGAGGCCAGCGACACCCCAGCTCTGTCTTTAAGTCACTAGCACAACCTTAGGTTTAAATAGAGGGCACAAAGTTACCTAATTAGGAAGTCCTGGTGAAGGTGTGACCCCACCAGTGCCTCAGCTCTGGTCTGTCATGCATTGTGCTCTAGTAAGTTGTCAGAGCCATGTGAAATCTGTCCCTCTTCTAGCTGTCATGGGGCTTTGACCCATGCATTTCCCTAGCATTGGATTCCCAGGGAAGCTGTAATTCTTTGGAGTCTATTGTTTTCACCTTCTGATGGATGAAGAGAGGGTCACATATATCCTTTTAGAAATCTAGTTTCCTACAGGGTGGTTACCCTAAAGTCATTTTGAAGTATCAAAACAAAACCAAAAGAGAATATCTGGGATCTGCCTATACTTTACCCTAGCTCCAGCCTTTGTCTTCAAATGGGTAGGAAAGACCCATAAGTGTTTACACCCTTACCCGTTCTCTTTCTTTACCTTCGAGTGTAAGCGTGCCATTGCATACCTGTCGCTCTACAACTATTCATCAGATTTAGGATAGAGTTTTTAAATGAATGCTGTTTTCCAAGGTTTTCACAGATTTCTGAAGTTTAGAAGTCCCTCTGCCCATGAAAGCACGGTCCATTTTCTTATGGTGGTGTTTTGTTCAGATAGAACCAGCTTCTACATGGAAGTTCATAGCTTTGTGGCTTCTCTTCATCTGCTAGCCTCCCCAGCCACACCATCTCCAGCCTGATCCTCCCATAGCAAGGGTTGGTGGGTACCAAGTGTGAGGACTGGAGGCTCGATTCTGGCACCCACATAAATGCACTAGAGAGGCAGAGATGGTGGATTCCCCAGAGCACGCCTGCTGGCTACCTAAACCAGCTGAATCAGTGAGCTCTGGATTCAAATGAAAGACCTTGCTTCGATATATAATATAAGGTAGAGAGTGATCAAGGAAGACTTCCAACATCAACCACTAGCAAACAGACACACACACACACACACACACACACACACACACACACACACACACACATGAAAGGATGGATGGATGGATGGATGGATGGATGGATGGATGGGTGGATGGATGGGTGGGTGGATGGATGGGACAAGAACAGCTGGGCTTTCCTGGGTCTCCTCTGGACCCCTCAGCACATCAGTCCCCGGTTACATCACTGTCACTTCAATGTTCCCATGTTGTGAAGAGACTCATGGAGCCACCTCTTCTGATAGCGGGTACGCACATGACCTTGCCTTTGACCAATCAGCGGACCCCCAAACTTAAAGACAAAAAGTAGAAGCCAGGAGCATAGAAAGTTGCCTTGGATCAGCCTTCAGCACTGTGTTGAAATTCGGTGCAGAACTCTAGGGCCTGTACCATTCACCTCTGTGATCCCAGCCTCATGAGAAGGGCCTGTCCTCGCCTATGGCCAGGTGGTGGCTGGTGGTGACAATACAGCCTGATAGCTCAGTGGTAGGAGGCCCTGCCTGAGATTGGGTCCCACAGCCCAGGCTTTACTTTTACTGCATTTGTGCAGTTATGTTTTGAAAGCATGGAAAAGGGACGTGGAGAAGAAGGAGCCCTCTTTGTGGGATAAGTAAGCAAACACGGGGGCTTACTTAATTTTTCAGGCCCAGGAATGTAAGCTAGGCTGTAGGATTCAAGCCCTGTTGGACCTCAGCAGTCTTTATTCCCCAGGGTGAATAACTGCTATGAGGAGCTTAGAAGTGCTCAAACAGAATACTGTTCCTCCTAAGCAGTAGTGAATTCTCTTTAACAAGCCACTTTGCCCTGAGTCTCTAAGATAGTTAGTCTTTTACCAACCCCGAAAGAGTGAATTATAAATAATAGATCTTGGTAGTTTCACGTTTTAAAAAGTTCACACAAACAATTTCTGAGGAAACATTTTAATACTCACACCTACAAGGGTATGAGGTCACATGTGACAAAATTCTCCTGGGTCTAAACTAAAGCAACAGAAAAACACTTTCCATCTCTTCTGCTTTTCATTTTCCTTTCTTACAAATTCTAATTTAATTTTATAAACTGGTATAGTCTGCTTTGCTGGTCTTGGAAAAAATAAAATATTTAAACATACACACACACACACACACACACACACACACACACACACACACACACACACACACCACAAATCTTCATTCACTCTTTGCTGGCATCCCCGACAAAGGGCACTGAGCGCTGGGTTGAAGAGGTAGGCCTCCTGAGTACTTGATACGGCAGTGACAGCCAGTGCAGGAGCGACATCCCACCAGGCAGCATAGAATTTACATTTCTGTGTTTACAGCTAGCTAACTGAGAGACTGGAAAATAAACATTTCTTTCTTCGAGTGAAGAAAAAAAAATAAAGCAGTCTTATCTCTGCATTGAATTTTGCCAGGGAGACGGCATGGCTTGCGAAGCAGCTTTAGTGGGAAAGCCATAGATTTAGAGCCATTTCAGCATGGTGCTCTCCTTGTTTTCATTTTCCCCTTCACCACGATTGGCTGCAAAATGACTACAAAGTGGTGTCCACTGGTGCCCCTGAAGGGGCAAATCTCGCTGAAGTGATGATCTTCCCTGAGTCTCTGGAAGTGTGAACTGGAGCGCCGTGCTGCTGCTGTGGCCCTCTCTGCTCCCTCCCCTCAGAAGAAAACTGGAGATAAATGAATGGCAGAATAAATAATTTATGCTAATGAAATTACTGCAATTAGTAGTTCTACAATGACCCTTTTAAAAGCCACAGCTGTTAGTGTCAGGAAGCGCTGTCACTACTGACCTTATCATAAGAGAAAGTGACAAATTAAGAATGCAGGAAAGACCAGTCACCAGTCATCAGAGGGGTCTGTTCTGGAACGATTTGAGTTTTCTGAAAAACAGTGTGAATTACAACCAGCTGCTCCCTGGCTCCCTGAGTCTCCCATGCTGTGCCATTTTGTTAAGCCCCGATAACAATAGTTATTTTGCCCCATTGAGACAAGTTGTGTCGGGCCACTTCCAGCTCTCCCGGAAGCCACTTCCTTCAAAGATTTACAAATGAAACTGTTGTTAAAAGGAGCTTTGGGGGCTGCTGAGAAGCCTCCTCATAAAGATCATGGTTGGGCAGAAGCCAGGGTGGTTTTTTTTTTTTTTTTTTTTTTCCCCTCCCTGTGAGGAGATTACACTTGACTGAGGTTATTTGTCTTTATCATAGGATGGTATATGTGAAAGTTCCTGTCAAAGCAAGATGGGACAAGAGCAGATATGTGCTTGGTTATATTGGAGCCAAGCTGTTTGGGAAAATAAAGTTCTCTAGGAAGCACGATGCACATGACATTTATAGACTTGCTCGTGAATTTTATTTCCTGGGTCCACTAATTGCTAGTAGGTATGCACCTCGAATCCCCTTGAGTTCGGTACAAGTCAAGATTTACATCCCTTAGTCTTGGCTTTGAACAGACATTCTTTCCAGTGAGGCAGGTTTTCCCTCCACCCCGAGGGTATGCTCACATGAAGATTTCACATTCCTTTGGGGTTTGTGGTGATGTTAGGAGTCTATCAGAGGAGCAGGCGGCTCGATGCTCGCTCTCAGCTCTGGTTGCAATATTGATGGTCCAGGTTTGAAACGTTTAACCGCACCACCGGCCACTCATGTGCAATTTTCCTGAAGCCGCCTGAGTGCTATTGACAACACTTTGGTAAATTATGTGTGACTTTGCAAAGAGTTGGTGTAGCTCATTTAATTCATATTAATTGATTTTTGGGCTTCCCTTGATTAATTGAACCTGGTTCATCTTGTACAGAATGCAATAAATACTCATTAGGATGAGGGAGATGTGGCTGTAGAAATTAAAAAGTTAACTATTCCAGAAGTCACAGAGGACACAAGAAGGGACTCTGCAGGGGCGCTGCAGGGGGAGGAGGTTTTAGCTTCGTTTTGTCGTTGTTGTTCATTTCTCCATGTAAGAATAGAAATGACCATTGTGGTTTCTCCTCAGAATGGGTGGTCTGGATAGCTTACCTGTCTGTTTTTTTTGACATGGATTCCCAGAAAACTCCACTTCCCTGCTTCTGCCTTTTTTTTTTTTTTTTTTTTTTTCCCAAAAACCCCCCCCTCCCCTTTTTTTTTTTTTTTTTTTTTTTTTTTTTTTTTTTTTTTTTTGTCTCCCTTGGCTTTGTACTGATTCTTTTTGTCTAAAGTTCAGCTTGAAAGTAACATCCTAAAAACAGTATCCCTTGGAATATTGTCTTGCTTTTTTTTTTTTTTTTTTTTTCATTTTCCCCCATATACCTGGTAGTTAAAGATTAAGATGTAGAGATCTGGGCTTTGTCCTTTCTGTTGGCTCCTGGATTTGAAGCAACACAAAAACACCCTTTGTCCTCCCGGCAAGAAGCCGGTGAGGAGGCCAAGCACTCTACAGTTATCCCTCCAACCCTGTGGGTCACTCATGAAGATTAAGTAAAATTTCCCAGCCGCTACTAGGTAATTTGTCCTGGCTTTTAGAAAGAAAATACTGTATAATTTTTGGTGGTGGTTTTTTTTCTTCCCCCTTCTATTTCCTAAATTATATTTTGAACTTGAAATGTAATATCTATGTTTCAGCCACAGCACAAAGATTCCATTAGCCTTTTCATGGCGCATGTTCACACCAGCATAAGGGAAATGAGTGCCTGCTATTACCAGAATGAGAGAAGATACAACTACACTACCCCAAAGAGTTTCCTAGAACAGATATCCCTGTTTAAGAGCCTGCTGAAGAAGAAGAGAGAAGAGACACACCAGAGGAAGGAACACCTGGGGAATGGCATCCAGAAACTACAAACCACGGCCTCACAGGTGTGACCAGAGGGACAGGGTGGTGCCTTTTTCTGAGGGAAGTCTCTACTCCCTCACAGAGGGCAATGTTTCCTCTCTTTTTTCTTTCTTGACGATTTTTTTAGATTATCATATAATTACAACATTCCCCCTTTCTCTTTGCTTTCTCCAAACCCTTCCCCACTCTCTCTCAAATCCATGGCCTCTTTTTTCTGATAACCCGCTCAGTCCATATAACTATGTGTGTGTGTGTGTGTGTGTGTGTGTGCGCGTGCGTGCATATGTATATATGTTTTATATGTTTTCAGGGCTAATCGTTTGATACTGGACAATCAATATTGGTGGACTTTTCCGTCGGGAAGAACACCTCTCTTCCCCCCATGTTTCCCTGGTTGCTTGTAGTTCTTTGTGCTGGATTGAAGCTTTCCCCTTCCCACGTTGGTGTGTCCTTTGATGTGGTTCTTCTTTAGCTCATATCTGGGCAGTTGTAAGTATAGCTGCTAATGCTACTAGGAGATACAGTCTCACAGCAAACTCCCCAATCCTGTGGCTTTTACAATCTTTCTGCCCCCTCTTTCACAATGTTCCCTGAGCCTTAGGTGCAGACACATTTTGTACATGTAGATATATTTGGAACTGGGCTCCACCCTCTGCATTTGATGGGTTGTGGTTTCCTTGGAGGTCTCTGTCTGTAGCAAAGAGAAATTTCCTTATGAGGAGTGGAGGCTACACTTACCCGTGGCATAAGGACATATGTTTATAGATTGTTGTGGCCCCCCAGGAGATGGAAGGTAAGTCCCCATTGCTGAAGATATTACCTCAGACACAGGGCCCAAAGATCCTCCCCCCCCCCCCCCCAGAAGCAGGAACCAACCTGAAAGCCTCCTTCCTGAGGACTGACTTTCATGGTACCAGAAGGCACCACGCAAGCTTCCAAAGGAGTCCTCCCTAGTCACGACACCTATGAGCCACATTAACAACCAGCATGGCACCATAATCCCAAGGATCCAATAATGGCACACATACCTTGTCAGTAACCAACAGCTCTCTAATATGACTTGAGAACCACTTAACAATAGCGAAACCATGGCTGATCCTGGAAACCCAGCTTACCACTCAGTGCTAGTGGAGTCATGGTGATGGGAGGAAAATTTAAAATCATTACTTACTAAATCAACATAGTCACTAAGTTTCCTCTTTGAAGCATCGTTAGCCCAATGGTCTAGGATGCCTAGTTCTGCCTTGCATAAGTTTGAAGACTGAGGGGAGTGGCACACTTGCTTTTCTGAATAAGGAAAGGATGGACTAGTTACTTTTTACCCAGCTGCTTTGAGGACACCTTCTCTTCTCAGCCTGGAGCTGTGTAGAACAGTGTGGATTTTGAGGGGAGCACTTTCTCATTCCCTTTCTACTCCCTGACATCTTGGGCTCTGGCTCAGGGATTTGGTCATTTTGCCAGGATGGAAGTAGGATTCTTGTTGTCTTAGACACTCAACCCCAGTGAGGCCATCATGTCCTCCCTAGCTGATGACTGTGGAGTGGCCCTCGGTTGTACACTTCTCCCTGACCTCAATGGAGGTCTATATGCCTATTTTAGCCCCCAGCTCTCTCAGACATCCTAGCCTCTGTCATCAGGCTCTTTCTACATCAGGGTATGGTATTCCAACCTAAAGGGTAAATGAAGAATTAGTACAGGGTGGGACTCTTGTTTCATTGTTAAAGTCAAAACCAAATGGGTGTCACAACTGCAAGGTTAGGAAGCAGATTCAAAGAATTTAGGATAGAGAGTACTAGAGGCTGGGACTTGAAGCCTGTCTATGTCATTCTAGTGCTGTATGCTGTCTGTTGGCAAGCAGCCTGGCCTTCCGCTGTGCTAACTGGACCTAAGCTACGTAAATTTTCGTTGCTGGTCATCCCAAAGGTGAACATTGCTGGTGACTGAAAGAAAGATCCATCTTCAGGCCCTCCCATGTGTTTCCTGAAATATGGACAATAGGGACAGTTTTCCCTAAGAGGGCTGGGTGGCCTATCTGTGCCAAGGACAGAAATTAGACAAGGCCTGGTTGGGAACATACATGGGAGCCTGTTCACCCTGAGGTGATCTCTGGCTGTGATCTCATAGTACATTTTAGGGAGACGTTCTACTCAGTCTTTCCCACGTAGTTTCACATGCCAAAACTTGTGCTTGATGAAATACAGGAGTCAGTGAGCAGTTGGTTGTGACTGGGAAAGACAGACTGGAGGGGGGATGTTTTTAGAAGAGTCCCTGAAGTGTGTCTATATTTGTCTACCTGCTCCTTTCCCTGCAGAGAATGTCTTTACCCTCCTGCTTACATCATCTTACGCTCCTTCACCTTACCCTACCACTCTTTTCTTGTTCTGCTTCTCTTAGTCTCTCTCCCTTAAATCAAGACCCCTTTCTATAGTAAAGGTTTCTTAGGAGTCCTGTTGAGCCAGGAAGACGGCAAAGAAGCTGTGTGTTATCACACTTAGGTCCCCTTGAATCACACTTAGGTCCCACACTGAAGCTATTGACTTTGCCCCAGGAAATAATAGTGTTGTCACCCAAATTGAGCTGTCAGTTTCCTTGCCTTTGGCAAAGAAAAATAATGTCTCTGTCACACTTTGAGTTGTCTTCCCAAGTACCAGAGCTAAAGGCAAATAACATAGCATCCTGGGTAATCCTAGAGGTGGTGATGTCTCAGCCACTGAAGCAAAGGAGAGAGCACATGGCTTTTTAACCACCCTATCTAGGTATTGATGAGTTGAGGATGGGGAACAAGAGGAGGGAGGAAGAGGAACCAATCTGCTGTCTCTGTACCTACAGGACTGCTTGGGGTCTCAGTTGTTCCCCTCAGCTGAAAACTATGGGAAGGAGCTTTGCAAAGACACATGAAGCCTTGGTTTAAGGAATGTAGCCGGATCCTCTTTATTGGGTGTTTGTACATGGACTGCTTCCAATGTCAGAAGAGTAGGTGACATATTTAACAGTTATTTGGCAGTGGTATGAAAATTTGTTATGTAAGGGAGGCATATTGGTTTCCCGTGTGGAGATTTGAAGAACCTTAGAGTACAGGACCAGATTGTATTTGAGACAAAGTGCCTTTTTCTCTGCATTTGCCTACCTGAAAGCATGATTGGTGGTTATATTTCCAAGTCAGCTGCTTCCTTAGAAACTGGAGTAGGGCTTGAAATTGTACTACTCCCCCGCCCCATCCCACTCATGATGCTTTGGATTATATCCCAATGGAGAACTAGTTTCAATGGCTAAAAGAACAGAGAAGCAAACATGGGCACATAGGAAGGCCAAAATAATCAGTACACCATGGCAGTGCTGCTTGGTAGAGTGTAGACAGATGATTGCACTTGGATGGGGAATCAAATGCTTTCCCTAGATACAATTCGGCAGGATGTGCTCCGAAGACAAAACCAACAACGTGTCCTTAACTGAGTCAAGATAAATGGTTTCGACTGCTTCTGCCATCTGCTGTGAGCTAAGAGGTAGTGATGATACCTATACTCCGATGAAGTAGAAAGAACAATTATCACAGCTTCATATGCTTTTTGAGGCTGGGGTCAGTCTTTTAAGTTGTTCTCTACTTTGCTTCTGCTCTGTTTTTTGTTTTGTTTTTTTTATTTGTTTGTTTGTTTGTTTTGAGACAGTGTTTCTCTGTGGCTTTGGAGGCTGTCCTGGAACTCTCTGTAGATCAGGCTGGCCTCGAACTCACAGAGATCCACCTGCCTCTGCCTCCCAAGTGCTGGGATTAAAGGCATGTGCCACCAATGCCCAGCTTGCTTCTGCTCTGTCTTAAACAATCCTCCAACTCAGGAACCACATGGTACACGCTGAACCCAAGAGAGTCTCAGCTGGAAAAGGGGCAGGGCCACTCACTTTAGCTGACACGTTTGTTGAGGTCACAGAAATACTGATGCACAAGAGCTGAGTGGGGCTGTTCGGTGGCGAGTCAAAGGAGAAAAATGCACATGTATAGTACTCACTGGATTTCTGTAGCCCGCGCCATGTTAGTGCCCAAAGAGCACACACAGTCTCCACCCTTCTTGTTGGTACTAGATTCTGTATTGGATGGTCTGTGTGGCTCTACACTGACACCACAGAGGTGAGTGTAATGAAGAAAGTCGTTCCGTATTGGGTGGGTGGAGAAGTAAGACCAGCCACACATTGCAGTAGGCAGCCAGATACTCTGCAATCAAAATCAGCCCATATCTTTAAGTTATTCAGACTTACAGCAGCTTCCCTTTGAGAATACAGGAAGCTATCCCAGGAGTCACTAAGCTCATTGTTCTATGGCCTTTGTAATCTCGAGCCTGGTGTCCTGAGTTGGCAAATGCTCTGATGGACGCCTCTGTTAGTATTTCCCTGAGCATACAGGTTGAGTTGCCCAGATAAACTCCTGCTGACACACAGTAACCCCATGTCCCGAAAAGCAGTCTTCTGCCTTTCTCATGTGGAAAGATACATGAAGCTACATTTCGGCAAGTGAAAGCAGAAGTCAAATCAGGCTAGAAACAGAAGCGTGCCCTGCACTGCTAGGGCCCCCAAACCCATGCTGAAGTGGCTCCAAAGTGATGACTTTTCCTTCAGGTGGGGGATCTGAAAGCCAGGTTGGCCTCTCAAGAAGCCGAGCTCCAGCTCAGAAATCATGACGCCGAAGCTCTGATCACAAAGATCGGGCTTCAGACGGAGAAAGTGAGCCGGGAAAAGGCCATCGCCGACGCGGAGGAGCGAAAGGTCAGACTCATTCCACCATTTAGAGTGCTGAGCTATATTTAGTACAAAATAAACCTTTGTAGGTGAACGATTTTGAACAACTTCCTCTCCAGGGAGCATAAAGTCTAAGGAATTATTATACTTACACATGTAACAGCATTTCACACCGTGATTAGCACTTGACCTTTCTTTGCATTATGCATTTCCCCAACCTTTTAGCTCTTTAATGAACAATAAATACTGAGCTCATTCAAGCATATAATGGATGTGGATCTCGTACATCAGGCCTATTTGTAATACAGTAAAGGTCAGGGAGTCACCTCAGAGGTTTCTAAAGGTTTCCAGTTTTTAGGCAAATTGAACAACTCAATTGTTAACAAAGCCCATTCCGTCACTTTGCGAGATGGTTTTCAAGTTCCGCATTTTAATAACACAACCAGCATTCATGATGAAGTCCTAAGCTAACTGTGGTCTTTCCAACTGGTCCTGCGCCCTAGCGTTCTGTGCGACGGTCTGCTGTTGGAGACAATAGCCCTTTGGATCATGTGGGTGCTGCTTGCTTTGAATTTGAGCTCCTAGCATCCCCCAAATAAATAAGACTATCACAATCTTCATTCAGCACAAATGGGATGTATTTCCTGTGTATCTTGTTTCCCAAAAGATACAGGACAGGAAGCATAGTTAATAAATACTCATTCATTGAAATTAATAAATGCTTTATTGTTTGGGGCAAAAGATTATAATCAGGGCTATTTAATGAAAAGCTGAAAATTGCTTGTACTCTCATAACCATGAGCCAGTGGCCGTTATGCTGTTGTTTTGTATTTCATTGTACCAGTAAACCTACCTAACATTTTTTTTTATGTTGATGCCAGCTATTCTTGGACAATCAAATAGTTTCCCTCTGTTTTCTGATGTGCAATGAGCATACTTTGTCTTGAGCAACGGAAAATTTGAAAAGTACATTGGAAAAACTCTAAACACAAACCACAATGCAGCATTCTTGAAGCAATGATAGAGTCGTTTGACTCAGCCAGTAGGCATATAATTCCTAATTTTGGTAACAGATGTTGCCATCGAGTTTCAGATAAGTACAGAATGTCTTTCAAAGTATATTATGAAATTAAGCAACCAGGTTTTGTAGGTGGTGCAGGATTATCAGAAGCTAATCCCACCCAGGGAATCTGCTTAGGGTATTACACAGTTATGTAATGTTCTAGCAATTAAAATTACTGATAGTTATTAACCCATCACTGTAGATACTGCTTGGAAATCTTGAAATACAACAGAAATTTGAGAGATGTCTCCCCATATTTTTTGCATGTAAATTCCTAAAGTAAAATTACCAGCATAAAGGAAGAAAAAATATTTTAGCCAATTAGAACATATCTAATAGGTTACTTGATGAGTTTTATTAGGCATAAAAAAGAAATATACTATTTTTATGTCCAATATATACCAAAAAGTATAAAAAAATGCTTAAAATTTTCATTTTGTCAGTAGTTGTCTGTGTGTTTGTGTGTGTGTGTGTGTGTGTGTGTGTTTCATTGTCTTGGCTTTGGAGGGCTGGGCACTGTCCTAAGTTCTTCAGAATATTTGACAACCAAGGAGTCTTTGCATAGCTTACATTGCAATGGGAAAGCAGTGTATTGGATTTCTGGGGCCAGACTGAGAGGCTTAAGAAGTAGGTTTATTTTTTTCAAGTTCTGGATGCTAGCTTGGCCTTCCTGAGGACTCTCTGTGGCTTTCACTAGCTCTCACCAGGCCTCTCCTGTGTGAATTCCAATGCCTGGTGTGTAGAAACTCCCTCATTCTCTAGGGATACCAGGAAGACTGGATTGGAGCCTATCTTAAAGAACTCTTTTTGACTTTACCTCTGTGCTACTACAGTCTCCAGATGTAACCACATGCTGGGTTACGGGAATGGAGGTGTCCACAAAAGAATTTGAGACTGTTCGATTCAAGTTTCCCGGCCTTTGGACAGAGTCTCATGGATTCTTAGACTGGCCTTGAACTCACTACATAGCCGAGGATGACCTTGAACTTCTGATGCTCTTGGTTATACTTATAAGACATCTTGCTTGTTTTATGTAGTGCTGAGATCAATGCCAGACTTTCTAGAATGATAGGCAAGTGCTCTACCAACTAATCTATATTCTCCAGGCCCAGCTTTTAGCATGAAGTTCTGGAGACTCTGTAATCAACACAAAATTTTATGAAAAATTTCAAGGAGTGGTAGATGTAGTGGCATCTTGCCTTGTCAGTGAACCTGTAGTAGTGGCCACACCCTTTGGACGTGGTTTTAGGGACAGACGTGACCCTTTTAAGGTAGAGGAACTTCGGACTCATGCTCTCTTGGGTCAAGGAGAGCATTAGAAGGGCAGAGACTACCTCTTCTGGTGCAGGAAGGCCGTGGTGGTTATTTAATCTGTGTAAGTTTTTCCCTATGAACAGTCTAGGAGTCCAAGGAACAAGAAAAAAGTCCTCACAGTTTCACTTAGTGCCAAAACATCTATGACTATAAGGCCAAAGAAAAATGATTTTTAAATGATACCATTATTAATGTATCACTAAACTCTGCATGTTTACGTGAGACAAATATGCCCAAGCTACTCCCTCACATACACTCTCATCTGTGATAGTGTTTAGAATCCCCGTGGTCCACTTTTTGGGCCTGTTTCGGGGGTGTGGTTTTGGAGGAGTTCTTAGAAAGCATGCAGAGTTTCCTTATTTACATTAGCAGCAGTTGTGTGTGTGTTAGCAGGAGATCACGTATGTACCCTGAACCAATTATGTTCATAAAAGGTAAGTACGCAGCAAAATAATGGTTAATCAGGAGAAGGCTAATTACCACTAATAAAGCTGCCACAGACAGCATAATTTGTTGTGAGCCGTGTTTAATTTGATGGCATGGTTGAGCCCGTTTGTTCCAAACACATATGAAGAAAAGCACTTTTGTTCCAACTACTCTGTATCTCACCATCACCCTCACCCCAAGAACCGTCCCACCGGGACTTGATCCTGCTGCCCAGTGCCACAGCTTGAAATTCAAACATGCTGCGGATAAAAATTCACTCTTACTCGGCGTTAAAATTCTGTAGCTTTCTGTGAAAGGGGAGACAGAAGTCCAGCCTCACATACTGGGTTAGTTCAAGTCACCAGCTCAGGTTCCCACAGGGACACTGAAGCAGAGCTCTGTAAAAAGGACAGACAACAGGAGAGTGGGTGTCCAGGGTATTCTGTTACCTATGAAACACTTGGGTACATCAGTGGCTTCTTTCATGGAAAGCCACTAGCTAATTTTTTTCATTTCTTTTTTTTTAAATAAAAATTCTGTCTGTGGTGAAGTATGCAACCCATGACCACAGAAAAGGGACTTTCGGTTCTGAACAAAAGAGTCCCACACATAATTTGTGTATGTGTGCATGAGTGTGTTTATATGTATATGGGTGAATGAGTGTATGCTATGCACATTTGTTAGAGGCCAGAGGTCATCCTTGTGTGTCATATCTTAGGAGTCACCATCTTGGCTTTTGAAACTCGGTCTTTCACTCACTTCAGGCTCACCAGTCCACTGATCATGTCTCCATCTCCCCAGTGATAGGATTGCCAGCACATGCCACCCTGTGTGGCTCTTCTATGTGGGTTGTGAGGATCAAACTCAGAGCTGTACGCTTGTCAGCAAGCACTGAACTAACTGAGCTATCTCCCTGGCTCTTGCCTGTATTCTAAAGGGAATGGCCAGCAGGACTGCTAAACAAACACTGCTAATAACTAGATGAAGAATTATAAATGCTCTGTGAACCAGCTTCCTGGTCCAGCCTGGATTACCTTTTAATGGAAAGAGCACTAAGGTTGGGGTTGGGGGGACGAAAAGTAGAAAACAGAAAAATGCTGTTTACTCTTTGTTTTTTGTTTGCCTGTGTATTGTTTTGTTTAATTATTAGTAGCATCTTACAAGCAAATGACTAGAAGCCCTTTGTGGAGCACTTTGGTATTAAATCTGTTTGTTTTTTAGTTCATGCTTTACTAATAGCTTTGCTTCACAAAGCTCTCTGGATCTACTGTGCTGATAGTAAATTACCTACATGTTGAAAATATAAACAAATATGTTGCCCGATAATGCATCCAAGTCAGTCCATGCTTTGTGCTGGAGATTTCTGAGATAACAATGGGGTGGGGGATGGCTGGGGGCTTACCTCTCTAACTATCCCCTCTAACTAGGTGGCTGCCATTCAAACTGAAGTATCCCAGAAGCAGAGGGAGTGTGAGGCTGACTTACTCAAGGCTGAGCCTGCACTGGTGGCTGCTAAGGCTGCACTCAACACACTCAACAGGGTAAACTAGTTTCTTGACCGGTGGGATTTCTTTTTTAAATAGTCAAGGGTTATGAGAACTTGAATAATGGGACAGAGTGGATGGCTCACGTAACCACAGAGCCTTGCAAAAGGACAGAGCACATCAAACCTTTGAGGTCATCTTTATAGATCCACTTCTTCCCCCACCCATGACATTCTCTAGGTCAGTGAGTCTTAATTCTGTTTTTCTGCTTTAAATGCTTAAGTACAAGACATTTCCTTAACCACAGTGAATCTCAACTGGGAAGGGGGGGTCCATGGATACTGGAATGTTTTCCTACTGCTTAATTCCCTCAGTGTAGATCACTGACTCATTGGCAAGGCAATTAGTGGTTAAATTATAATGAGAGCAAGGGAAACTACTCTAGAGTATGAATTAGTAACTATTCGAAGTACCTATTACTACCTGTTGTCCTTCATGAACCCCACAGTAATATCCTCCTAAATATTGCTAACACTGGGGAGTCAGCCCTCTAGCCTTCCAGGGGGCACTTTGATGAGTCTTTCACATTGTGTGCTACTTGGAAAACTAGCTGAGGGATGCTTTATTTCCTCTCAAATACAAAAAAAAATATTTTTTAAAAAATTTGATAAGACCCCCGAGAGAATCCTAGGAAATGCCTAGGCCTGAGTTTCTTAAGATTCAACTCTAAAGGCAGAAGAATCTAAATTTCACTGCTTTTCTAAGAAAATCCTCAGTTCCTTTCTGGACCTTGTTTTGTTTTGTTTTGTTTTAAGAAAGTAATTTTGATTAAGAGCAAAAGCCTTGCAAGAGTTTTATAGTATTATTATAAAACTGAAAATTTGTTAAGAATGTAATTGTGCCATGAGAGATTATTTCATGCTTATTCTAATGCCTCAAAATGATATTGTTCAATATTAGCTAGCAAAAAAATAGAAAATATTCCCAGTAAGTAAAACACACCGAGACACCCATGACTCATTTGTTTGAACAGAACAGTCGTAAACATTGATAGAAATTATAAAATAATCAAAGTAAAAAATAGTAGAAAAGTAACTGATTGCCTCTGGCTAATGGAATGTTTCTCTCTCTCTGTCTTTCCCTAAATTTGCAAGGTTTTTTTTTCTCTAAATATATTTACTCTTTGTACGTGAGAGGGCACACTAAAGAAACTGCTGGCATGGTCGCTCTGTAATATGGTTAAGGTTTTTATTGTTAGTATGAGGAGAGAGAGAGAGAGAGAGAGAGAGAGAGAGAGAGAGAGAGAGAGAGAATAGGAATAGCCAGGAGCATCAAGAAGAGTCTAGAGCAGAGAGAGAGAGTGGAGTGGAGATGACCAGGGCTCTCTGTGAGAGAGGAGAGAATAACCAGAGGTGGAGAATAGAGGAAGCATAGTGAGATAGCAGGGCCAGGGGGAAGCGTAGCCTTTATATCTGGGAGGAGAGATGCCTTTGGAGGTGAGAAGCCAGCAGGCTATTTTAGAGACTCTGAGATGTATAGCCAGTACTTGTGATACTTAGTGAACCCGTAGGCTGGCGTGGACTTTGTTACACAACCACAGGTAGCCATAAGTCCCTTGTGCCAGAGGTAAAGGAAATGAGTCCTTTTGACAGATGGGATGTGTTTTCATAAGTTCTGAGGAATGCTGGATTTTATCTAATTGCCAGACATCCTCCAATAGTACAACTTGAGCTAATTTCTAGATCTTTGGATGTCCGAGACCCAGCAATTCTTTAATCAAACAAAACAAAGTGGTATGGCCTGCAGTGTAGAACCAGGTTGTATCCAAGTGATTGAAAATCCTAGTTAACCAGATCTCAACACTCAGTAGCACTCTGTTCTGGCTTTAATGCCCATTCTATTCTTTGTATAAATAGATAGCTTTGGGTAAAGGAGCAGAATTTCATTTGGTTTAGCTTTTAAATCATGCATTATGGAACCACATGTACTTCTAATAAGTACTATTTCCTGCCCCCAGAGTATCTTTCCTCTCATTACAATTTAACCACCAAATCCATTGTCAGTGAGTCTGTACTGAGGGAATTAAGTGCTCAAAAAGACATTCACAAACCCCCTCCCAGTTGAGACTCACCATGGTTTAAGGAAGAGATGTCTGTACTTATACATTTAAAGCAGAAAAACAGAAGACATGCTGACCTAGAGAATGATATTTACAGGGAAGGCCTGGTTAAAACACAAGTGCATTACATAGTGGGATAGAATTCACACATAACCAATGCATGCACAAAATCTCCTGGCTTCTGGCGGGGCAGGGGGTGTTCTGCAGGACTGTTTTGTCTATTGTTTTTTTTTTGTTTTCTCTTGGAAGCAACAAAATTGCAGGAATGTTTCCAGAGTATCAGAGCATTGCCCAGTCAGAACTGAGGCCCCTGTAATCCCAAACTGGAGATCCCAACCTGCAAGAAACTGTTAGGAAGAGGGGGACTGAGCATCAGCCTGGAAACTGAATGCCAACCACTGCCTACCACCACCACACCAGAGCCCTCATCTTGAGTGTCTGTATGACTGCTTTGTTTCAGGTGAACCTCACCGAGCTGAAAACCTTCCCCAATCCCCCAAATGCTGTTACCAATGTAACTGCTGCTGTGATGGTTCTTCTGGCTCCTCGAGGCAGAGTGCCAAAAGACAGAAGTTGGAAAGCAGCTAAAATCTTCATGGGAAAGGTGAAAACTTTCTACACCCTGACAAGCCAACCGCTGATGCAGCAATCCAAATCACACCAAATCAAGCCTGTTTTTTGTTTTGTTTTTTGTTTTTGTTTGTTTTTTGAGACAGATTTCTCTGTGTAGCTTTGGAGTCTATCCTGGAACTCGCTCTGCAGACCAGACTGTTCTTGAACTCATGAAATCTGCCTGCCTCTGCCTCCCCAGTGCTAGAATTAAAGGCGTGAATTCAGCTCCATCCCTCACCCCGAGAGAGAAGGGAAAGATTCTGGAAAACCACACAACTATTTTTGGGGAGGGGGCAGTTTAAATACCCTGTGGGAGTGGTCTTGAGCATCTCTGGGGGAGGGATGATCATTTGGAGGGCTTTCTGAAATGCAGGAGGGTTTGGAGGGAAATGGGGGAGGGGAGCTAGGGTGGAACTTCCACCAGAACATTCCAGATTCTTTGGGTATGTGGATTCCAGGGTATGGGGTGAAGCTTCCACCAGAACAAATTGGCAGGAAAAAAACCTCAACGATTTCCATATCATTCTTATTACTACAGATGTACTTGACAGCAAAAAAAAAAAAAAAAAAATGTTTAAGTCGATTTTTAAGTCAAAAGACACCATCTCCATAGCTGGCCAGTGTCAGCAGCCACTGTTCCTTAGACTATAACCTAGCTTCCTAGCTTCTCCTGGCCAAGTTGGAGGCTAGCATGGGGTCGTGGCATACCTAAGTCAAAGCCAGCAGCAGGTGGAAGGTTGCTAATTATTTGCAAAATTATGAAAGCAGCTAAGTGTAGGAGGGAGAAAATTACATGGATTTTCTTAGGCTGTTAAAAAAAATGTTACTAATGTACAAGAAGGTGAAGCAGAGGGGCATTGGAATATGTGTTTTTTGCTTTTTCTTTCCTGCCTTTCTTTTCTTCAAACCGTGAGCCCCTCCTGTGCTGGCACAGAATATTTTTACCCTGGGATAGAAGAGGTTTTAAAAGTGTCCATTGCTAATTCTAACTTCGTACTGTAAAGACTGAAAAAGCCAAGCAGTGGGGTAAATGCAGCTTGCCAATTGTGCTTTTGTAATGAGAGTCCTCAAAGCTGATTTTAACTTTTGATCTTGGAATTTTCTCTGCAGCCAGAGCAGGCTCATTGCAGTAAATCCTTTTGCTTTACAGGTTGACGACTTCCTACAAGCGCTAATTAACTACGATAAAGAGCACATTCCAGAAAACTGTCTGAAAGTAGTGAATGAACAGTACTTGAAAGACCCAGAGTTTAATCCAAACCTGATTCGGACCAAATCTTTTGCAGCTGCTGGTCTCTGTGCCTGGGTCATCAACATCATCAAGTTTTATGAGGTAATGGTCTTTAGCCAGTGGTTTCGGGTGCTGACCACCAAGGGCTATGAAGATTCATTTCTAAAATTGTCTTCTCTCTTTTGACAATTGCATCTATATGTTCAATGTATTGTGATCCAATTCAACCCCCAATACCATCTCTTATCTCCTCCTCACACCTCTTGCTCTCCTTACATTCCCAGCTACTCTCCCTTCTTCATGTCTTCAGTAAAATAAATAAATAAATAAATAAATAAATAAATAAATAAAGGACTCCCTGAGCGAATTTGGGGGTTGTTTGTATGAACACAAGTTTGGGGGGACTGTTTACTAAGGGGTGGGCAACTTAACCAGTTGCTACATTACTTAAGAAAGTGACACTCCTTACCTGGCAATAGCTGGACTGGGAGGTGTGGAGCCTCATGAGCCATTCCTCCATCCATGAGAGAATCTTGAGTGGCCCAATCTTGTGCCTGTCTTGTGCAGAATTCACAACTGCTCTTGAATTCCTGAGTGCAATGGCCAGGTCCTATCAGAAGACAGGGCTTCTTAGCGTCCCTCTCATCCCTTAGCTTTTGCATTCTTTCTACAGTATTTCCTAGGACTTGGGGCGGGGTAGGGTGGATGCTTCGTTTGTACACGGTCACTTCTCAGCACTTTGACCACTTATGAATCTCTGCCGTCACCATTTCACTATAAGCAGAAGTTTCTCAGGTCTAGGCCGAACAGTACTAGCACATGGGCATAAGAACAAGACTGTTTGGAAGACAAGTTTAGCTGTCTGTCCATAGCAAAACAATGGTACTAGCTTCTTTTGTTGTAGTTCTGGAACCTCTCTAGCTATAGGATTTTACCCAAATTTACAGTCCCAGCACATATTCCCTCCTGTAGAGTGGGCCTTAAGTCCAGTCGGAGAGTAACGGCTCCCCTCCTGAGTCTACTAACTGCAACAGTGGGTATCTCTTGCAAGGCAGGTCAATATTGTAGAATGCAGAGTCCATAGCAGGATGAGACCATCAGGACAATTTTTACATCAGAAAAAAAAAAGTAAAGTTATTTACTGCTTAGTTTTTGGAAGAAGGGCATGCAATCCTAAGAATGAGAGGTAGTATATCAAAGTTAAAATAATTCTAAACAGGAAGATAATATGTTGGAGAGCATTCACTTTCATAGGGGAGAGTAGCTAGCTAGTTTCAACACTTTAAATAACTTTTTTTTAAAATGACAACTGGTTTACATATATAAAATATGTTAAAACTGAAAAATCATTTCATGTTGACCTGAAAAATCTGCAAGTCTGAATTCATATTGAATTAAATGAAGCCCCACTGTTGGAGTAAACACTTTATTAACATCTTTATTATAGGTAGAGTGAGATGAAAAAATAACTGTTTTGGTGTTTAAATGACATTAATTTTGCCTTTTGTACTTTGGGAAAAAATGTAAAAATAGATGATCATTTCATTTAGTCATTTATTTACCCAATATTTATTACCTGCCAACCGTGTCTCTAACCCTTCCCACCAGGAGAGATACAGAAGGGGAACTATGTGTGACCTGGACTCTGAAAAACTGATTCATTTTGTTGTGGAGCATTGTATGTCATAATCAGATTTCAAATTACGGAGTGAAAGCCAATCATACTGTCATTCCCTAAATTACCATCATGTGATCTGGCTACATCTCTCACGGTGTGGGGGCCTGCGGAAGTGGGCCTCGATTGCTCTTTCTCCCTTCATGGAAACTTTCACAGAGGGTTTAGACAGATCATGGTAGATGGATGGCTTCTCTCTACAGTCCAGTGCCTGAGTGCTGGGTTCAGTTTCTTCCCAGGGTGGGAAGATGAATGTAGAACTGCACTGTGCTGTTTCTCTATAGACTAGGAAATAGCATTTGATCCACCCTGAATCTCTGAGCACCCATTCTAACAATATGTGATATAATCAGAAGCTCCTAACAGAAAGTGAAGGGTGTGGGATAGCTCTCTTTGTCTTTTCATTCAGAGAGTATCTCACCCTCGGCTCTCTGCCTCTCAGGTTAGACCTCAACTCTGTCTGCCTGGTTAGACAGCTCCAGTGGGTGCTAATCATTTTAGGACTGACTGATTTTAGTGTATAGATGGTATTTGGCTTGTATGACATTTTATGCTAGTATTTATCGCTCTAAAGTCCAGAATAAACAAGTAATAGGACAGCGGAGATCATGTGGAAGGTGTGTCTGCCGAGGTAGCAAATGGCAAAGAAACAAAGAGCGCGTAGGTCTCTGCTCTGGGGATTTGCTGTGGAGTGTGGGATTTCAGGGTTGCTGTTCCCTTCCATCTGCATTGCCTTCTGAGTGAGCCCTGTGTGGATTTTCAGGTTTACTGCGATGTGGAGCCCAAACGCCAGGCATTGGCCCAAACAAACTCAGATCTGGCTGCAGCTACAGAAAAGCTAGAGGCTATCAGAAGGAAGCTTGTGGTAAGTGTCACCTAGAAAAATGGCATTGTCATGAGGAGGTTCCTGCACCGGTCTTAGGGTCCCACCTATACACGTTGCCACACCCTCACTTTAGTAAACAGAAAAGAACTTGGTCTTCAATGAGTGTGTTCACTGACATACTAACATTGTGGACATTTCTATTCTCTGTCTGCTGGACTTGCACTGGCATCATTGTTTGTTCCTTACTTCAGTAGGTTTCCCAGTCTAGTAGAAGGAACAAAGTAACTGACATCAAGCCCCCAGAGCCTGATTTACTGGGTTGGGCCCATTATTTATAATTCCACCTATACATGTTGGTTAACTCTGTTGACATAGGTTGTCTCATCTGTGACTGGGTACAAACTGAGAGGCCCTTATTCAAAATCCAAATACTTCAAGGTCCAATACTTTTTTTGGTGCTACCATGATGCCTGAAGTGGGGCATTTTGGATATCCAATGTTTTAAATTAGGAATGCTCAACCTGTAAAGTCTTTGTAAGTATTCAAATACCTCAGATGTCCCCAAATCTTATAGGGACTCTCACCCTGTATAATGACAGCATCCTGTTAAGCAGATCGAAATGCTTAAATGCTTAGTTTATATTAATTTATATTAATAGTTTAACATGGGGTCAAGTTTACCCACTCAGTGTTTGAGGAATATCTATAGCTATGAACATCATCATTATTACTAGTTTTATAAACATACTAGTCTTGTGGTGTGGCATTCTAAGCATATACAAATGCAACTATAGTACCAAATATTATGAGCCAGGGATACCAGGGAGCTGATTAGTGAAGGTGTTCTTGACGTGCCCTTTGAAAGCTGCTTAGGAGTCACAGTGAAAGGCGTTCCTGCAGAGATGATGGAATAGGGACAGAGACAGGGGGACTCTTGAAGAATCACAATAGGCAAGGGCACCAAGAGGGGTGTTGCAGGGAATGCTGACATCAGGAAAGGTTGAAGGCAGAGAAGGACAAAAGGCATTTGCAAAGATGAGCTAAGGCCTTCTTAGCCTTAGCCATACAGAAGTTCAGTTTTATCTAACTGTTGAAGAGCTAGATCTGCCTGGGAAAAATTTTAATAGGTTAATGACACCATCGACAACTGAGAGGAGCTGGAAGGAAAGATGTCTAAAGGAGGAAAGACAAGTTCAAAGGCAACCAGAGAGGGCTTTGTGGGTGCCTCAGCTAGGGCAGGGATGGTTGGGGCAGAGGGTCAAGAATGATGGCTAGCTGACAGATGCGGAGAGCAGGAGGAGGAAGAAATGTGGACTTAGAGAGGGCAAGGTGGGTAGCAGAGTAGCACAAAAAAGCTCTACCATACTGACAGCTCACAGGAGCCCCCCAGCCTACAGGTTCTTCTCTGTCACTCATGATGAAAACAACAGCCTCTCAACAAGGATGTAAGTGAGTGTTGGTGTGACCTGGTACCCAGTCTGCCTTCTGCGAGGAGAGCCAGCCTCTTTTATCTATAAGGAATTCTCCCTCCTCCTGAGATGCTAGTTTAGTCAGAATGCTTTCCTATCCAAGGAATGCGGCCTATCTATCTATCTATCTATCTATCTATCTATCTATCTATCTATCTATCTATCCACCTACCTATCTATCATCTGTCTGTCTATCATCTACCTACCTATACATGATCTATCTACCTAACATCTATTTATCTATCATCTATCTACTACCTACCTACCCTATTTATCATCTATCTATCCATCGTCTGCCTATCATCTACCTATCATCTATCTACCTACCTGTCTATCTATCTATCATCTATCATATATCTGTCTTTGGGGGTGCCCATGCACAGACACAGACAGACAGACAGACAGACAGACAGACAGACAGACAGACAGACAGACACAAACAAAAACCCACAGAGACACACACACACACACACACACACACACACACACACACACACTTTAGGGCATTCATGTGTAGTGTCAGTCCTCACCTTCTACCTTGCTTGCTCTTGCTTGCTGCTGCACATATGACCCATCAGCCTCCAGAGAAGCTCTCATCACTGCCTCTCATCTTGAAGAGGGAGTGATGAGATTAAAAATGCATAGTGCTACACTGGGTTTTACATGGATCTGGGGATCTGAACTCAGGCCTTCACACTTACACACCAAGAACTTTAGCTACTGAGTCTCCTCCCCAGCCATCGATCATGCATCTTAAACAAGGCTGGAGGATGACCGTAAAGGAAACTTCAGTCCAGGCTCTTTAGGGCAGTGTCTCTCAGTGTGGTCCCAGGCCATTAGTAACATGTGTAACCTGGGAACTGGATTAGAAGTACAGATTCTCTGACCCACGTTCACATGGAGTCAGAATCCCAGTGATCATTATGTTCAATCCCAGCAGTCAGTAAACTTAACAGGAAGTGGCATGAATCTACAAATCCTCAAATCCATATGACCGATGCTACAGCTTACATAGGCTTCAGCCTTTTATAAAGCTAAACTTTTGTTGTTTGTTTTTGAGATGGGGGGGTGGAGGTCTCACTATGTAGCTGCTTATATTTGTCAATGATGCAGCTATTTCATGACTTACATTGCTACTGCAACACAAAACAGACATGAATGAATGAGGTGAAACGTATAAGAATTGGAGACAGCCATGGTCTACTGGAAAATACCATGGGAACATGCATAATAGATCTATTCCAGCTTTTTATGGTAAAAAAAATAATAAGCTTCCAGCACTTGGAAAGCAGAAGCAGACAGATCTTTTGGAGTTCAAGGCCAGCTTAGTCTTCAGAGTGAGTTCCAGGATAGCCACAGCTACATAGTGAGACCTTATCCCAAAGAATAAATAAATAAGGGTCTGGAAAGATAGATCACTCAGCAAGTAAGAGCTATTCTTGAAGAACTTGTTCTTCCAGAAGACCTGAGTTCAATTCCTAGGCAGCTCACAACCATTATTAGTCCAGCTCCAGGGGATACTATGTCGCTTTTTGGCTTATCAAGAGATCTTAGAACCTTGCATGTAGTTACAAAAGCAGTGTTGTAAATTGTAGGTCCCTTAGAACTTACAAGCAGTAAGACAACCATATTGAGGTACATCACAACCATCTGACATCTTAGTTGACATTTTTTGGCTTCAGGCATTTAAAAGGAGTTTACATAAAGCCGAAAAGTCGGGTCTCAAGAAATGGGAAAGCTCCTAGAATGTCTCATCCTGCTTCTCCATACATGAGCCTTTGATGCTGTCACTCTCTAGTTTGCTTTTCTGCATCCACGGTTGAAGAGGGTCTCCCTCTAAATGAAGCCCTTCTCCAAATTGACACATCCAAGTTCTTTGATAAGACAGCTGATTATGTCTGAGTCTCAACACCCAATTCTCAAAGAGAAAATCCAAGTTGAGTCAGATTGATGAGATGTGAAGGGGTGTCTCCGTTTTGGGTGAAATGAATAAAGAATCAGTAAGTGGAAAACACATAAATGAATCTCCACAATTGGTGCATCTGTCAATGAACCAGGCATGGGGCACTTACCTATAGTCCGGGAACTTGAGAGGCAGAGGGAGGGCTGTTGAGAGATCAAGCCCATCTGGGCTACAAAGTGAGATAGTCTCTGCTCTTAACTAATAAAGAGTATAGCTACTACTGGAGGATTGGGGCTTATGCATCAAGACAAAAGGGTTGGCACTCACGGTGTGTTTGAGTCTTAGGGAGTGTCACTCAATTCAGTACCTCCATGAACTCCACCCAGGAGAAAGGAGATGAAGGGAAAGCCATATAGCAAGCTATGGACAGTGTAGGGTAGCTCTGACACACTGATCACCATCATAGCCTCCTTTCTTGCCTAAAATATATGTGATAAAGGGTCAATGGAGAGAAGGGGGCTCATTTCATGTCCACAGCTATCTTCTGGTGGCTGGGATGTTTATCTTAACTAAAAGCATCTCTGAAGTTAATTTTGACTCCCCCTTTAGGATCTGGATCAGAATCTGAGCAAGCTTACAGCTTCATTTCAAAAGGCAACAGCTGAAAAGGTCCGGTGTCAGGAAGAGGTGAATCAAACCAATAAGACCATCGACCTGGCCAACAGACTTGTGAGCGAGCTTGAGGCAAGTAATCTTTTCTCAAAAATTCTCACTGAAATATTCAGACTGGCAGCTTTGGATTTTGTGGTCATCTGTTGTCAATGACTAACTAAACATAGAATCAATAGTATTGGAGAATGGTTAGTCATTACTCAGACTAAAAGATCCAAGTGACCAGAAGATGTCAATGACCACAAACCCAGGCATAGAGGTGTATGCATATAATCTCAGCATTTGGGACGTACAGATAGAGGACACCAGGAGTTCAATGCTACCTTCAGCTGCAAAGCAAGTACAAAGTCAGGGTGGCTAACACAAGAAGACTCTGCCTCAGAACAAAGCAAACAGTGACCAATCTGTTGATTTCTTAAAGCCTTTACTTATTTTTTTATTTTATATGCATTGGTGTTTTGTCTGCATTCATGGCTGTGTGTGAGTGTCAGATCCTCTGAAACTATAGTTACAGACAGTTGTGAACTGCCATGTGGTTGCTGGGAATTGAACCCAGGTCCTCTAGAAAGAGCAGCCAGTGCTCTTTACCACTGAGTCATCTCTCCAACCCCGATTCTTGTTTTTAATATGTAGCTAGCAAACTCAGTGTGACATCTGCATAGTTTCCAGTCATAAGAGACAGATACTGATATTCATTCACACTTTCACTATTTACTAAGTCCATATACTTCTCTGCCACTAAAAAGAAGGAAAGAAGGGTCTGTGTCAGAATTAGAACTGAGCAGCAATTAGCTTCATATCTTCTTTCATGACTCATGTCCATCACGTGTAAAATGCAGCGTGAAGCTCCACAGCTTCAGAATGGCTACTCTAGCTCTAGAGTTCACTGGGATGTGTGGAGTTTGTTTCTGGCTAACACCAGTACAAGCTTTTTATTTGCAAGTTTTTTTTATAATGAAGTTATGAAGTTTTAATTTTAAAAAAATACCAATATTGTCAGGATTTAGCTGTTTTGTAGCCACTTTGAGATCATAGAGTATGCAGGCTAGTAGGTTATCTGCCTCTGAGATCATAGAGTATGCAGGCTCGTAGGTTATCTGCCTCTGGAGTTTCTTTCCAGCCTGGTCTCACAGCCTCTTTGCCCCAGATAAACACACAAAGACATATATTAAGTATAAAATGTTTGGCTAATCGCTCAGGCTTCTTATTGGCTAGCACTGTCTTAATTATTAACACATTTCTATTAGTCTATGTATTCACAGCCCCTCTCTGCCTTCCTCTCCCCAGCCTTCTTCTGGTCTGGTCATCCCCTCTATGCTTCCTGCCTGGCTATTGGCCAATCAGTGTTTTATTTATCAACCAATAAGAGAACATATATACAGAAGGACATCCCCCATCAGTTACCTACTGATTTGCTTTCTTCCTTTTCTCTTCCCTTCTCTTGGGATGTTTTCCCTAAGATAGAATACAGAACTCAGGACAGCCTCTAGGCAGCTTGCCATTGACTTCCACTAGCAGACCATACTTTCATATCAAACTTAACTGGTTATGTTTGTGGTGTTCACTCCTTTGACAGGTGGCTAGCACACTAGCATGAATTGCTTTCTATTAGATAAAAGTCTAGGAGTAATTCTCATTAGCCTTCCTTGTATGAGTGTGCACAGCTGAAGAACGTGACCTCGGATGTGAGTGGATTCCTGATACCAGTTTTTACTTGTTCCATCATTAAATGATTTCAGGAAAGTCTTTGAAGTTCTTCAAATTTATTTTCTTGCCTCTTAATGGGAACTTGCATGACATATAAAGTGTGCTTACAATGTTCCAGATTAAAAAGGATGCAAATTTCCATCAGTAGATGCACAAAAATGTAATAACATCCGTGCAATGCTATAACATAGATAAACTTTGAAAAAACCTTGCTAACAAGCAACAAAGACCCAGGCATATGCAATTCCCAAAGGAGGAAGACTTGTGAAGACAGAAAGTGGTTGTTAAGGGCAGGACATATTGCTGAGGCTTAGAGAATTATTTCTCATGGACATGGTTGGTGGAGCATGGAGGAGATGGGCAAGAAAAATGTAAGATTACACAGTGGGGAAGATTATACAAGTGTACAAATACACTTAAAACTCAATTATATACTTTAAATAAAGTAAACCTCAAGGTGTAAAAATTATATCTCAATGATGCTGTTTATGCATCAGGTACATTAGGTGCTTAGATAGTCGGATATCGATATTAGTATATGAATGCTTAAAATTATGCAAACTGAGAACACATAACTAAGAAGCATATGGTCATGTTACTAGAAATACATTTAGCTGGGATGTATGTATCAGTAGAATTGGGATGCACTTAGGAGGCGTTGACGGAAAACTTGGTTTAGACAGTCTTAAACATATTTTTTAAAAAATTACTGAGGGTAGACAATGCTAAGTGTTCACTAGGGCAATTCATGATGTGCCCCTTCTGTCTTGCCATACTTCTCCATACCTGGCACATGGGCAATAACCCTCATGCTTTTTGCCTCCTGCCCCAAGATGGCCGCTACAGTCTCTGGCCTATTGCCCTGAACTCTTCCCTTTTTGCCCAAGATAGGCACTACAATTTCAGATGACAAGAGAAATGGGAATCTGGGATTTTCCCTTTTGATAAAACACCTGGCTTTCCTGGAAGGTGGTCTAGCAGACTCCCACTTAAATGTCTTTAAGGAACTAGATAGACCACTCCTATCTGCAAAATGGGCTGGAAAGCTGGGAAATTGGATTATTATTGGCTCACCCAACCAGTCTACGTGGTGAGGAGTTGGACTTGGTCATCATATTCAAAACCAGGTTGTCTTAGCATGAAAAGGGAGAGACATGGGAGGGAGGGGGAGTAAATAGTGACCTGATATCTTATGATAGTTAGGTTGGCTGCCCTGTGCCCCCCTCACACACATCTGTGGCCAAGGCTAACCTGACACCTACAGTGTAACTGAGACTGCCTTCTTCCTGCCTCAGCTCCCTAAGAACTGATATTACAAGATGAGCCACCAGTACCATGTTTATACTGTTTTCTAAAATCCAATCTCAACTTGTTGCAACTCCAGCCCAGGGGGCCTCTGAAGCTCATGTTACAGTGTATGAGCACAGGGTTCATCTGTCTCCACTCTCTGTCCCAGCCAGCATCTCCTCTTGTGCTTCTGACCAAAAGCTTTAAGATCGTGGATTGGCCTTGGCTCTTTGTAACATGTCACAAACAGCCGATTCATTGCACCGTCTGTGGTCTTGCCTTGAAAGTTCATTCTCAAACTCAGTGCGTCTCACCTTCCTTGCTGGTCCACATCACCACATCTCCCTGGAGTATGTTTCATGCACTGAGGTCTGTTTCTCCCCTTAGCAGTTGGGAGGCAGTTCAAAGGCTCAGTCAGCACATGTTACCACTTTGCTGGAGCTCTCTAATAGCTAACCACCTTGCCCAAAGCGCCACCCAAAAGCTTCAAGTGACTTGGCCCCCTGGATACCTCCATATCCCTTGCTGCCATTTCCATGGCCTTCTTGGTCCTCCTTGCAGAGTCCTCCTGGTAGCTTTTGGCCTTTCCCTGGCTCCGTGTAACAGGTGGTTGACACCCTCAATTCTTTGCCAAAAGCTCTTTTTCATCATGTAGTGCTCAAACCTTGGTATAACAATATACTCAGCTTGCCCTACTCAAGCTCACACACATACACTCACACAGCTCTATGATACTTTCTGCTTTCTCTGTTATTACACTTTATCACAGCATCCTATGGTACGGATGCAATGATACAGATGTCCATGCATGCCTAGGTACATTTTTTTTTTAATTTTTGCAACTTCATATGTGGATGCAGTATATTTAGGTCACATGTACTCCCAACTCCTCCCAGGCCCTTCCCCACATACTCCCAACTTCTTGTCTGCTTCCTTTTCTTTTATTACCCACAATTCCTATTGGCAGTACTCATATGTGCACAGGTGTAGGGCCATTCAGTGGATCCTATGGGCCATACTAGTGAAGAAGGCTGACCCTTCTCCCTCAGTGGCTCTCACTTGCCAAAAGCTCCTCAGAGAGGGGCAGGACCTAGTGAGTCCCTCCTCCATCCATGCTGGAGCTGTGACTGGCTGGATCTTGTGCAGGTCTTGTACTGGGCAACCAGTTTCTGAGTTCATGAGTACAAGGATCCTGTCATGCCCATAACACGTGTTGGTCCTGGATCCTCCCTAAGTTCTGGCTCTTAACGACCTTTCTGCCCCATCTTCCACATGCTCCAGAGTCTTGTGGGGGAGGGGGCACATATTTTTTGTGTGTTTCTTTTACCCCAAATATAACATAAACTTCTCAACGGCAGGAGCCTCATTATTTTGAACCGTTTGGTCCAGGCACAGAGGTCATTAATAGATATTTGTTGAATGGATAAGTTATCAGAGTCTCTTTTGCATATATATATATATTATGATATATATTATGATATATATATTATGATATATATATATATATATTATTCTTTGAAGACTTAATTCTTTTCAGGTTGGTTGGGAAATTTTGCTATTACTAGTCCTTTTGACTACTTCTGCTTAATGGGGTAAGAAGTTGAAGTGTCTCCCATTTGTGAGGTACATGAGAAGAAAATGTCATGTAATTAGACTGCTTCTGAAGTACTTAAAGATTCTATCACAGTCGAAGAGGGCTTTTCCTGCTGGTATCTCTACTGCACAGGGATAGTCCCAAAGCCTGGACTCGTGTCTGCTGACTCAGAAAATAAAAGTGGGGGAAGCTTGTGTGTTGTTAAGTAGGAAAAATATATTTTTGAAGGATTAATTGAACATGTCAGACCTTTTTCCTTTGAGGATAATTCCTTTCTGACTAGAACAGGAGACAGTTAACTTCTGAAAAGCATCGAGACTGATGACTTTGTCTATATAGCATTGACCTGGAAGCTCAGCCATTCAGACTAATAAATCAGGCAATTTATATTTAATCATTAACTAACTCCTGAGCTGAACAGCTGTTCAAAATTAGAAATGGGTCACCCCAGCCAGGATGACATTACAGGCAATCTATAATGCATTAGAATAAAATTATAGTGATTTTTAACTGTCCAGAAATTTATTACAGGACATGTTCCAACTCTTAAACCCTTGTTAGCCAGTGTCAGTGATGATTTATGCTGCAGGGGTGGTGAAATGAAATTATTGACGATCTCAACAGCCAATAAGTCTGTGTTTAGTAAATCTTAAAGTCAGAAGGTGTTGTGGAGAATGAAGTGAGTGCACTTTATTATCATTTGCGAAGCAAAACCAACAAAGATGGAGGCAATGAAGGGGGGAGGCCTCCCGAGGGCGCCGGGTGTGTTGTCCGTGGCTGGGGAAGGAAAGGAAAGAATTCTGAGAAGAGGACTTGACAGCTGGACTTCCTGTCTTTGACAGTGCAGCTGGAACGGTAATGTAGACACCTTAGTTCAGAGAACCATCCACACGTGTCCTGGATGCTATAATGGTTTGCAGAAAGCTGACATTCTAATTTTTTGTGTCATGTGTCAGTCATGTTTCCTGTGGCCTTTTTTTTTTCCCCCAGAAAAGAGGAGATCCCTAAGATTCTCTTCCCTTAGTATAAAATCGTTGATTATAGTGGCTCCTGTTAATGTGCATATCCTTAAAATGTTGTATTAATTTTCCACATGCCTCAAAATGAAGTGAATTAGTGGACTGTCCTGCAGTTCAGGCAATCCATATGTATTTATTGCAGTTTTATACAAATCCAATATTAAGGGCTCTACATACTTAACCTGTAAATCAGATTTTAAATGACCAGCCCACTAGATAGAGGGACTTTCAACGCAGTTTCTGAGTGTATTGTCGTTGAGGCTGGCTGAATCTTCATTCCCATCATTTAACATGGCTCAGAGCCCCCTCCACTGATTTAATGATTATATTAGAAAAGTGCCCCAAATTTGGTTACTACTGAAATCATTCTTTAATTAACAGAATTTAATTTAGGCTTTATGTTTTAATTAACATGAATGATGTTTGGTAATTTTCTTTGTCTGATCAGCCCATAGCCAGTATATTAAGAAAAAAAAATTGATTGATTGAAGCAGTATGGTACTATTGCCAAAAAAGGGCTTGGGGTTGGGGGGAATGGAGACTAGCCAGACTGACATCAGGTTTTTAGCAGTTGGGCATGGTGTTACACAGCTAGCACTAGAGAAACTGAGGTAGAAAGAAGCATAGCAAATTGTAGGCCAGCCAGGGTTATATAGCGAGATCCTGTTTTAAAATAAAAATCCTAGCATCACTTACTTGTGGCAGCCAGTCTCAGCTGTGTTCTCCCAGAGGATGGGCAAGTGATTGACTGACCTGTGAAGAAGAGCGCCAATCACAATTGAAGAGTTAGTCCAACGGTAAAAACAACGCGTGAACACGCTCGTGTCGTGTGATGCTGAACTTGGCTGGAGAGAGTGGGAGAATTGCGTGGTGTTGATGATGGGTTTCAGACATGCAAAAGATTATAGCAGTCACTCCACCCAGTTCTACTCTGTGCTCCTAGAGCTGGCGCTGGAGGCCGTAGCCTTGAACTGTGCTGCTGTCAGGTAACTGCATTAAGCATTTGCAGAGTTGATGCTCACCCTGTAATTACACATGGGTAATTTTATCCTTCAGTCAGAGAAGATTCGATGGGGTCAGTCCATTAAGTCCTTCGAAACTCAAGAGAAGACACTGTGTGGAGATGTGTTGCTTACAGCAGCATTTGTGTCTTACATCGGGCCCTTCACAAGACAGTATCGCCGGGAACTGGTGGACTGCAAGTGGGTTCCGTTTCTTCAGCAGAAGGTGAGGCCCATCCTTCGCTGTCAATATGGGGGAAGTGTTGCACAAAAATGCCATCAGTGACCTGTGTGTATGCCAGCCATCTTACATATGTAACATCTTGCTTGTTTATCCCACTTTAATGATGATTTGTACCTGGGGGTGTGGGTATATTGACTCCGTGGTTAGAGGGTACATTTTGCAAGACAATAGAAAACAAAACCAGATTGTTAGATTATTGAGAGTAGCGTGAAGTGTTTTGTTTTCTTACTAATATTGATATTATTAACGATTTTTCAAGATTCATTTCAAATCAAAGCACAGCATTTTGTAAAAAATGACATTTTTTTTTTAAAAAGCTCACCATAAATTTGAATGCTCAAATCCATAAGTGGCATAAAATTAAGGAGTTGAAATATCTGAAATCCTGTGGCTTACGATTTTCCTTGTGTGGCTGAGAAAACAGAGAAGCCAGAATTTTAAATGACTCCCTCTAGGGAGCAGGAAGTCAGCCCACCTGATGTCCAGACCACAGTCTTCTTATAACACTGCCATTGAGATTGATGAAGTAGCCTCCCAGTTTCCTCACTCACCCTTTCCTGGAGTGTCAAGATACCCACACAAGGCAATTCGGCCTCAGCCTTCACAGTAGTTGTTTTCGAAACTTAAGAACAAATGAAATCAATGTTTTAGGGAAAGCTCCTGCCTGCCTTTGGGTTGTCAGTGTGCCTGGGGCACAAACCAGTTACCAAGTGAGTAAGATTTGTGACTATCATGACTCTGTAAACCAACCATATCGTTTGTTGATGACCTAGACATTATTAAGATAACCTTGGGGAAAAACTCTTCTCTGACCATTGAGAGACATTGGCTGTCTTCCATGTTCTCAGAAACACACATAGTCTGAACAATACATACTATTTTAATACAAAATCTAGATACATCAGCCATGGCTTATTTAGTAAATAAACTCAATGTGACTCAAGTTAGAATTCTAAGGAAAACTATATTTTTACTTGACTCAGTGATTGCAAAGCTTGTTAAAGGCAGCCAAAATAATTTTAAAATAGAACCGTAAGAGACATTGAAATATATTCTAAAACTACAGAATTCCAGTAAAGTCCTTCTGTAGGGGACACAGAACGCTGGGAAAGACTAATGCTCCAAAGCATGCAAGAAGTTATTGACATCCACAAACAGGGCAGTGCACAAATGTAGGTACCTCTGTCCCTGACCATCATCAAACTCATATTCTCTGCCTTCTGACTGAATCCCGAATGAGGGCTGGCCTCTACTCCTGGCCACTCCTGAGTTGCTCTAGACAAACATTCATCCAAGCAACTATCTGCCAGATTTTATATACACAGTGCTGAGGGCTTGCCAGTTTCCTCACATCTGGCAGCTCTCAGTAGAATTGACTGTGCCTCCTCAAAACCGTGCTTTTTTTTTACTAGGTCTCAAGACACCACCCTGCTCTGATCTTCCCTAGTTCCCTGGGCTTCATTGACGGGCTCCACCCCTCTGCTCTCCAAGCCGTTAGTATCCATATCCAACCACTTCTCTTTTCAGTCACCTCGTCTTTATCATTTAGCCAGGTTTAAAGCTTTAAGCACCATCTTTATGTTGCTGACTTCCAAAGGTATGCCTCCAGCCCCAGACTATGGCACCTGTACTTGTTTCAGATGTGGCAGTGTGATCTTCTGACTTGCCCTTAGAACCTCCTTCCTGTGTGTTTATTGGCAGCTCCCTGATGTCACCTCTATGTTTCCCTTCTTTTAACATTTATACCTAGTCTGTCAACTTGTGCAGATCTCATCTGCTGGACCCTGGTATCTGAGGACCTGAAAGAATGGGGCAGACTACAGTCTAATGCCATAGACAGCCTAACTTCCATTTAAGTGTACTTTTATACAGAAATGAAATAAAGGAAGCAATGATCCAAAGAAAGTTGTTTGAGTTAGTAAAAAATATGTAAATTAATGTCAGTAAGCACATACTAAATATTAACAGAGCAGCTCTTTCTCAGAACTTTCTCAGGACAGACCAATTTAAACACCATGCTTGGCACGTACTATAAATTATATCTGGGAGATCATGAAAGAAAGGCAGAAGACCATACCTACATTGAAGGTACACTGACCAGTTCTACAGCTCTATACTGACATCCAACAAGAATAAACATGTCTTATAAAATGGATATAAATATTTGTCACAGAAGCATGAAATCACATCCAAGAACAATCCAGTGAACAAAATGCACCTGAGGTAAAGGTCCTCTGCCTTTTTTCCTGGAGCCTCTGTCACAGTTCCCCAAGGCATTGTTCACCATGTGCCAGTCTTTTGACCATATTCCAACATCTCCCCTTTTTATTTTTTAAACTTTAGGGTATTCATTCTTGTTTGGAGTCATTGACATCCCAAGAAAAGCATGAAAAAAAAGATAAGTGCAACTATAGATGCAAGAACACTATGCTACTGGAATGGAGACCCATGCCCTGTGAGGCACCAGAAATCCCTTCTGCTATTCCTAGTCTGGAGATTTCAGACAACTACTTAGAAAATGTCTGAAAAATCTTATCCTGGTACCCAGTGGTCTAGGTTTTTATACCATCTGGGACAGGACAGTGGCCACATGTAGGGGTGAGCATTCTGAAAATACCAGTAAGCTCAAGTAATAGGTTCCCATTGGGGAAAATTAAAAAAAAAATAAAATAAAGTTAATTAGGTAATAGTAAGAGTATCTCAGGAAGTAGTTCCCCCTTTTTATTTTTTAAAAGTTGTCTCTCTTTTTGCGGTTTCAGAGGGTCTTTTATTAATCACTTTAAACTCAAAAGAAATATTATACTAAAAAAAAAACTAGATAGACTAAAAGAATCCAAATGCTAGGGATACATCTGCATGATAGATTGCTTGCCTAGCATGGATGAGGCCCCGGGTTCCATCCCAGGTAAAGAGAGGAACAGAGGGAGAGAGGGAGGGGGAGGGAGGGAGAAGAATAGAAGAACCAGTAAATGTTGTCTCTTAAGGGTAGAACGTGTGTTCTACAAATGTTTGACCCTGTGTGCTGTGAAATTCCAGTGGTGTGTTGAATTTGTCATTCTTCCCAGCATTTCTTAAAATTCTGACCAGTAAAAGCTGGACCATTAACTGTTTTTAACTGTGTGGGAATACCCATAACAGTGAATATCTGAAAAAGGTGACGATAAGAGCTCTGAGGGAGGGTAATTTACCTGACTTTCAATGTTGAACAGTTAATATTTTGTCATATAAGCCTTGACCATCAATACTTAAATTCTCATCCTTGAGAAACAATATGATTAGCAGTAGGGGCACACAAGATCTCATAGTTATTGACATAAACAGGAATGTTTTTCTCTTCCCAGTTAACAAAGTGAAGCCCACAAGGATCAGGTACAGAAGTCTCATGTGTCTCAGCAGTAATGGATACACTCCACAGAGACAAGATAGCAAAAGCAGCCATTGTGCAGGCATACCCTTCTCCTGAGGTTTCATCAACTCTTTTCCTTCTGACAATAATGTCTTCACCTGAGTCATTTCTGGTAGGGAGGCTCTGTTCTTTTGTTTTGGATGGTCTGATGACTCTGTTGTCCCATTGCCTCTCTTTGCTTTAAATGTAGCCTCTGTAGCCAATCTGGAACCTCTTTGCCAATCTTCCACAGCTTAAGTCAACATTTCAGGCTTCCCAGCTTCCCTGAGGACAAAACATAAACATAGGTCCATCGCCACTGAGTTACTGGAGCTGGGCCATTCAATTGGCCAGACATGAAGTCTCTCCAAAGAACTGTGACCATGAATTTCTCCAGAGGGGCCCCAACCATGCTCTGCAGCAATAAGGCCATCCTTGCCCAAATTTTATCTAAAATAGAAGATAAAACATTGTGAGGAGTATTCATACTACCTCACACACCTTCCTTCCTTCCTTTATTTATTTATTTATTTTTGGTTTTTTGAGACAGGGTTTCTCTATGGCTTTGGAGGCTGTCCTAGAATTAGCTCTTGTAGACCAGGTTGGTCTCGAACTCACAGACATCTACCTGCTTCTGCCTCCCAAGTGCTGGGATTAAAGGCGTACACCACCACCTCCTGGCTCCTTTATTTTTAAATTATGTTTAAGTTGTTCATTAGTCCTTTCCACAAAAGAGTGACCCTGACAGCTATATGGGATGTCTGTGATGTGGGTTATAGCAAACTGTTGGCAAAATTCTTGAAAAGGCTTGGCAATGTATCAGAAGCATTGTCAGTTTCCAACTATTTTACAGGAATATAAAATAACAAAAGCACTACTAAGTCATCTAAAGTATTAAACAAAAAAAATTTATATTTTTTTAAATGAGGAATGCAAATTTAAAGTTAATGCAATTCTTATTTTTATAAACAGAGCCTTTAGCTCATTATCATTGTTATTTTATAGAAAGCAAAATATCTTCCATATAATGTATAATAAAAGCAAGAGAACACACTTCTTTAGCTCTTTTTAAAGCATTGACTACAATCTTTTTATATAAAGTTGGAGTATTTGTCACTATTCATTCCTTTTTTCCTTGTTGAATGACTGCCAATAGTTGAGGCATTGTTTGCCTTGAAGAGCAGTAGCCAGAGTTAACCCTTGAGTACAAAAAGGCCCAATATCAGCATAGAGGTAGTTGTAATAAGTAATATATTCTTATTTTTAGGGAACGGATGGCAGTCTCATATGCCAATTGCTTAACAATAAGCATTTCTGTTTCCCCATCAACCATAAGACAACTGATTGTCTGTAAAAGATGAGAAACAAAATCTTGATATGGCTCATCAGGCCTCTGTCTAATTTTAGAAAGTTCTCTGTGATTTTCACAGAATCCAGTAACTTGTGCCATGCGTCTTCATTCCCAGCAAACAAAGGTGCTCTTTTCCCAAGAACAGCAGCATTATCGTTGTCTCCCTGGCCACATTCATTCCAATGGTCACTGTGGTCCTCCCGAAGAGGAGGGCGTGATATTTCAGGTCAGGGAGCCGGCAGCCAGAGGCGACCATTAAGAATATACTGAGAATCTGAGTGCTTTGGATGCTGCCATCCAGGCCCAAGCCATCACATTCTGTTGGGTTGAGATAAGAGCCCCAAACACCTTTTCCCAAGTCTACAACATGTTTGTTTGTCCCTTAAATTGCCTCTGAACATACCCAGGATGAGCTTTCAAAAATGAAAGTCCATTTTCTTCTTAAATCCTCTGAATCCTTCTCCATTGCACTCAGAACAAAATCCAGATATTCTATCAAAGCTTCAAACCCTTATGAGGGTTGTCGGTTGTTCTACTTTGATCCGACTTTGATTTCCTTTCTCTTCCGCCCCTGTCCCTCCAGCCCACCTCCTCAGTGTTCCGGGTGTTTCAGCCTCAGCCTTCGCACTGCCTTCCTCCTCTCCCTAGGAGCATCCTCTCCAAGGACATCCTATGTCTCCCATCCATCAACTCTTTGTTCCCTTAAGGCTATCCAAGACACTAGACGTGATTGCAACCCCATCCCCCAGCATGCCTCTCTCCTCTAGCATGGTCCTTGTTTGTTTGTTTTGTGGCTCTAGGAAGCAAACCCAAGAAGCATCCCAGGCAGCTTAAGGATTTAAATGTTAGATATTAAAGGGAAATGTAGGTGTAGATGCATCATTCTGATATGGAGGTGTGATGGGCCTCCCACCCCACCTCTAGTTAATTCTGTTATATAGATGACATTACACAGCGGAGTGGAGATGAGTGGTACAAAACTCACAAGGACATATGTTTTCACACACACACACACACACACACACACACACACACACACACACACACACCTCCCCACTATCCACTGTTTTCCATCATGAACAGTGGTTTGAATTTTACCCTAGGATAGCAAGTCCCCAAGGGAACAGAAGTCTTTATCATGACTATAGCCCCCGTAATGAAGCTTGCATCAGCTATGCTCAAAGTCTAGGTGTGACATGAGAAGACAGAGGACACTGGATCCAGCCAGGCACAGAGTGTTCAGGCGGATAGCCAGAAGTGAAGGAGGCAGGGAGTTCATGAGAATGGCAGAAGGAAATTAAAGTACAAGAGGTATATTTTAGGATAGCTAGCAACCTGAATTTAGCTGAAAGTAGATAATATATAGTAATATATCTCAAAAATTAAGTATAACATAGTTGTAGTTATGACTTTATAACCATACTTGTGAATATATACCCCAAGGAAATAAAAGCACAGACTGAAGCAGATGTGTGTGTGCTCAGGTCCCTAGAAGCATTGCTAATGTTAGCCAAGGGGAAGAAGCAACCCTGGTGTCCAGAGACAGGTAGATTTCTTTTCTTATGTGGCAAAGGCGTAGAATAGAATATGATTCAACACAAAGCAAAAAAAAATCTGATTCATGCTTCAGCATGGATAAGCCTGGCAGACAGAAAAGAGCCAGATATGAAAACAAATGCTGTATGGATCCACTTGTGCAAGATAGGGAAGTCAGATCCGTAATGACAGACAAGGAACAGATGCTGGGGTGGGGTGAAGGGAATGGGGGATGTTCTGGATAGGCGTGAGATTCGGTTTGGGAGGATGAGAAGGCTCTGCAGATGGAGGTGTGTGATAGCTCTGTGATATTGTGAGTACTTGTCGCTACTGGACTATATGTATTCAAGATGACAATGCTTATGCTATGCATCATCTACCATAATGAAAAATGAAAAAGAAAACCCTGATAGGGTAATGGCTGGGTGTCCCAAGGCTGCTAAAGTATATGGAAGAGGGGAGAGTGGTACAAGATGAGAGGATTGGATTTGAAATTTCAGGCTCCAGTGGTAAAACAGTTTCATGTATTCTAAGGTCTAGAGCAGTAACTGCAGTCCTGCACTGAAGGTACGGTGATACCATGAATGGAGGAGTATATGTGTAGAGAAAGCCAGAGAGGTGGGTGCCTATCATGTGACTTTCCCAGGATGCTCGCGTGGACAGAGAGTCGATTCCTTCTAGGCATGTGCTTGAGCGTTAATAGCAAAACTTAGAAAGCTGCAAAGGGCCAGAGGGAAGTCATCCGTAAGGTAAAGGGATATGTGGGGGACTGCACAGCTGGGCCGTGTCAGCCCCAGCTGCTGTTTCAGCTAAGGGTGGATGGGTAGTAGTTGGGTTGACCTACAGAGGAGAAAACTGGCCACCCCTTCCCACACTCCTCTTTCAGTGATGGGAGTACTCAGAAAATGAAGTGTCTCCACTAAATGCAACCCTTAAATGAAGCTAGCTCCTGGGCCATGACCCATACTCATGGTGGATGAAGCTGCACAGGAGAAAACTGTTTAGATGTATTAATAGCGATTGAAACCAAATCACTGGGGCTGTTGAGAGCCAGTTGAGCGAGTTGTTGAACTCAACTGTTGAGAGAGTTGTTGAACTTCCCGTTTGACTATAATAAATAGTCTGGGTTTGAGAGCTGCTGGGCTAAGGGGAAGCCAGGTTTTGGCCAAAACAAGTAGACGGGGGTGCAAGGATTCTAAGGGAAACCTGGGAAGGGCTGTCAGAAAAGTATCAGAACTGGGAATAGGTTCAGAGGTTGAAATGGGAAGCACAGGGCTTTATGCCTGAAAGGCTACCATCTTGTTCATTTGGGTGAAGATGACAGGGTGTCAACCAACTGCACAGACTTTATTAACACACTCCAGAAAGGGAAGCAAAGTAAATGCAGTTAATAAACTAGATCCTGAATCCACATCTGACAGGATTCTGAAAGATCTGTGTCCCTTTATTTCACAATGCAAGCTGCATTTGGCTTTGCGGAGTCTGCAGAGAATTCATGCGTGTTCCCTTGACTTCATTTTCTCTTGGCTTCTTTGGGCTCATTTTCTTGTCTACCACAATCAGCCTTTCTCCTCTGCCATACTGATAGTTCATTCCATTCAACTTTGATTTCAAAGGTCTCCCTCCCAATAACAGAAGGCCTGGACTTGATTGCCATGTTGACAGATGACACTACAATTGCCACCTGGAATAACGAAGGGCTACCCAATGACAGGATGTCAACTGAAAATGCCACCATTCTAACACACTGTGAGCGCTGGCCCTTGATGATAGATCCTCAGCAACAGGGAATTAAGTGGATCAAGAATAAGTATGGGCCTGAACTGAAAGTCACACACTTGGGCCAGAAAGGGTATGTGGGTCCTGATGTAGTTGTCTTTGTGTTAACCTGCTCTGAAGTGGGTATGAGCTTGACAAAGTCTTGACTTCCTGCCTTTTTTCAGCATTACAGTTCAGTGACACTTTTGTCAATTTTTCTAACTCATATTTCTTATAAAGAATCTCTCTGTTCAAAGACTTTCTTGTGAAGTTGATGGGGGATGTCCTTCTGTGTATGTGTTTCTCTTAATGGTTGATGAATAAAACACTGATCAATAGAGGCAGGAAGATAGGCAGGATTAGGAGATGAGGAGAATTTTGGGAAAGATAGGCAGAAAGAGACTTAAAAGAGACACCATGTAGCCGAGGAATGATTAAGAAGTCTGGACCCTTCTCCAGTAAACCAAGACAGTGTGGAAATACATAGATTTATAATCTATGGATTAGAAATGGATTAATAATTAAGGCAGAGATAGCCAATAAGAAGCCCTAGTCATCAGCCAACAGTTTAATAATTAAGTCTTTGTGGGCTTATTTGGGGTTGAGGGTGGTAGGATCTGGCTAAAAAAAAATTTCCAGCTACATTAGATAGTATCTAATTTTAAGAGTTTGGGAAACAAAAAAAATCATATCTGAGATGAAAAATACATTATTATTTCCTAAGAATTTCCTAAGAATGGAAATGTGATGTATTCCTTCTCCGGAGTATTAGGTGTATGGCAACAGAAGGATTGAGCTTGTAGACTAACATTGTCTACAATCACAGCCCTGAGTGTGTTCTTTGCCTAGGGAGGATGCTAACATGGCCACAGGTTTCCACACTGGGTGCCCAATCTCCTAGACTAGTTCCACTGGTCAATTTTGAAAGTTGTCTGCTTAGATACCATGTCACTGTGTCCTGTAGCACTAGAGTCTAAGCAGCAGGAAGCTGTGAGCTCACAGTTGGTCTTCGTTCAGTGTTGAATGGGTCATTTTTTGGACCTACTGATACTGCCTTGAGCCCTCCCCTGTCCTTTTACACACCATGAAGTGAGGAGTTTCTGCAGCCATGACACATAGACCCTGCTAATCTGAGAGATCACTTTGGAGAGGGAGAGATTCTTCTTGGGGCACAGACATGAAATCAGATGACAGTTTCCCACTTTATAGGACTTGAAGGTCTAAAGACCAAGGGTTGAGGAGATGGCTCAGTCAGTCGGGTGTTTGCTCTGCAAGCATGAGGACATGAGGTCAAGCTCCAGCACCCAGTAAAAGCTAGGTATGGTTTTTGCAATCCCAACACTGGGGAGAAGAATGTGCGCCCATCCCTGGGCTTCTAGGCAGAAAGTTTCAAGTCAGTGAGAGCTTGTTGCAAACAACAAGGTGGATAGCTCCTGAGATACAGTACCAAAAGTTGACCTCTGGCCTCATGTATGCATGCTCACACACATGAACGCATGAGCACACACGCGTGTGCACACACACACAGGTCTAAAAATTTGATAAAACCAGTCATTTAGTTTCATTTATTCTAAATGGGCAAATTGAGTAAATGTGAATTTATGATACTTAGGTCATTTATAGTTATTTCAAACACTGGTAATTATCAGAAGCAATTAATTTCTATTTGACTGCAAATTTTCTCTCAAAACATGACCCCTAGTATCTGGTATGATGTTATGTTATTAAAGTTTCCTATAAGTTCATTGAAAACAGCTTCATAAAATACAATTTAATTGTGTAACTTTGGACATTTTTCTTTACATCTATCTCTATTCTGACTTCACTTGAAGGTTTTTAAATGCCATTGAGACAGCCCTGGCCTTTGGTGACATCATCCTAATTGAAAACCTCAAGGAAACAATGGATCCAGTCCTTGATTCTCTGCTTGGCAGGAACACCATTAAGAAAGGGAAGTAAGTGTTACGCTAGTTTTTAAAACCATGCCTTGCACCAAATGAGTTTGCCGCTATCTCTGGTTCTTGACCTCATACACAGACAACATCCGCCAGCGTCTACTTGGCGACATTTCTGAACTCCATTTCATTACAACTGTTCTTAAAGCCAAAACCAGCCTCAGATAAGTCAAACTCACTTAACTCACTCCACTTGGCAAATTTCCCCTTGTGTGTTTACTTTCTGAATCCTAGACTGAAAATACACCAACAGTCTGAGGTTAGTCCCCTGTGCTCAGTTTACTCGGCTTACCCTCTCTGACGTCAACCATTTGCAAAACACTCTGTGTCTGCCTTTTCTGCATATCATTTGTATTTACCTAGTATATTCTCAAAATAGACTTTAAGTTGCCACTGTTTTTATCAGCATCTGGTAATAGAGTCTAAAAAAAACAAAACAAAACCATAGGTTTGCTATGCCATCTCTTTTCTAGTATATTTAATATATACATATTACATATATGCATACATACATATATACATACATACATATATACATACATGCATGTACACATACACTAACACATTCATACACATGAGTACACACATATACTCACAAACATACACATACAAATATACATACACATAAACACATATATACCCATACACGTGCACACACATTCAAAAAAAGAGTCTATCTCGAGATCCCTTAAACTATCCGCACACCACCAGTGGTAGGTTACCAACAAAGGGGGCTGTACTCTGCCTTACTCCTAGTCATACATGTAACTGTCCAAATGGCTCCATTCCCCTTGGGATATTACACATTCCAGAACATTCTCCCAGGGGGCATCAAAACCACTTCCAGGCAGTCATTGTGTCTTCCTTCTACACTGGTCAGAAACGGGAGTTACGTCTTTAATCCAGCCTAGATGGGGCTAGGGAACTGGGCTGCTTTAGTGGAAAGTCGTTCCTGAGGATGAGGACAGGCAGTGCAAGCATGCTGATCCTAGTTTATAACCCACATAAAACTGGATGTGGTGTCATGTGTCTATAATGCCAAACCTTCTACTATGAGATGGAAGATGGAGGCGGGAGAATTCACAGACGCTCAAAGACCAGCTAGCCTGGTATGTGCAGTCAAGAACAATAATATGCCTGTCTCAAGCCAGGTGGAAGACAAAGATGGGCACCTGCCTCTGACCTCCACATATGCACGGAGAAGAGTTACAGACAGTTCCTCACCTATATGCACACACATGCATGTGCACAGATAAACACATAAACCATTACCAAACTTACTTCATTGAATAACTTTTTTTTTTCATTTTTACTTGTTTTTCTTCACTGGGGTATAATTTTAAAACTTCCCCAAAGTCATTCTCTTTGCTTCCCACTCTGTCTCTAAGGTGTTTGTCTCCTTTTCCGTCACCAGATTTCTACTGAAAGTGGAAATGGGCCGACTTAAGTAAGGGTGACTAACTCTTAGTCTCCAGTCAATTACTATGCTATTTATTATACAGCTTCCCAAGTAAATCAATCTAGAGTGACTGACAACTTGTAATTGTTTAATAAACCAAAATCTACCCAGACATGCATTTAGAAAAATCTAATAAGCCACCTGACAAACTGTAACTCCCAACACAAATATAATTGTAGCTTTGTCTGATGTGTTAAAAGTACAGTACAAAAATCTCAGATGTTGCTGAAGTGAAATCCTTGTTATTATGGCTCTGGCTCTATTATGAAGACCTAAAATTTTTGTCAGTGAAATATGTATTCTCTGAGCTTTAACATTAACTGGAAACAGAGCAATTTATGTATAAAAAAATTTTGATGGTTCTCCGTCACATGTGTGTTCAGAAAATCTGAGTCTTGGAGGCTTGTGCACAGCTTGTTGCTGTAATCTAGCAGTGGAGTAGAAGTACTAGATAAAAGATGCTTCAAATTTTTAGTCTGCCTATTCTAGTCTGCTGATTGGGAATGAAAGGAAAAGTATTGGAGCAGGACCCCCAAGGCCAAGTTCTCAGCACAGAGGAGATTCTTTGTCTCAGAGTGAAAGAGTCGGGAAAAGACAGGAGATAGAGGGCAAGGAAGGAGGAGAAGGAAGCAAGGGAGGGCACTGGGGTGCTTGTCCTTGAGGACAAAGGACTGCTTCTGGATAGAAAGGAGAAAGACATGATCCATAGGCAAATAGCGGTTTATAAAGGTAGAATGGGAATCCCATTAGGTGAACCAAATGGGGATTTTGATTGCTGGATTTCAATATTTTGATAGCTGGACCTTGGTAGTCAGGCTCGGGAAGTGGAATCAGCTAAATAAGGGAATGAACCTTGGGCTAGCTTCAAGAATGTAATCTAACAGCTTTTATTTAGCAAGGCAGAGGGGATTGGGAAGAAGGGCAAGGCCTGCCATAGCCACGTGCTGGAGTGGACTAGTGTCCCTTCATTCGTGCCTTTTTGTTTTATTATTGGGTGTTTGAATGTTGGGTAAGTGGGCATCATTCTCTCTGGCTGCTCCCTTCAGACACTGGGGCATTGTTGTTAGGGGGCCCAGGAAGCTAGGTGCTGGTCGAGGTTGACAGAGCAGGCTGTGTCTGTGAGACGATGTCCAGGTTCTGAGGGACCATCTGAGACTAGGGTAGTCTGTGAGGCTGGATCAGGATTTCAATTCCAAGAAGACAGCTGGGGCTGGCTGTGGAGTTTCTGGAGCAGTCTGTAGTTGATTTGAAATCTGCTGGAACAGATAGACGAAGGACAGAGGTGAAGTTAAGGAGTTTAGGAAAAAACTTTCCCTGGGATGTGCATTTGAAACTGCTAAGTTCATGGCCCTGGCAGGTGGGAAGAGAAGTCCTGAGAACAACCCTTAGAAATGGGCAGTAAAACAGGACGTTGGTTGGCAGGAGTACTTGTCTAGAATCTGAGAGTTCTTAAGAGGAGCCAGGACAGTTTAGATTGGCTATGTAAGGTCGATTCGGAAGCAAATGTCTGAAAACAGGATCTGGTTGTGTTGGGATGAACACAGTTTGAGAGACTCTTGTTACATCAGAACAGTGTTTTTCTGGGGTGTTCAGGTAAGCTCTGAAATTGAAATATTTTGGGAACATGGGTGATGGGCAAGGTTTTTGTTAAATGGTGAGAGGGGTGGTTTATAGCAGATTTGGGGGACTCGGGTGGAGAAGCTGAGGATACGCTGCTGCAGGACCTGCTGGAGAAAGGTGTAGAGTTCAGCTGCTTGGTGAGAGGACCAACGGGGCCCAGAGCAGGAAATGGGTCAGAAACGAAACAACAGTTCATGACTAGGCCGAGGAGGGAAATGAACAAGCAGGTAGTGGGCAGGCGAGCAGCTGAGTAAGTTGTGTCAACAGTGGGGAACCTGGCTGAGCCAAGGCTCCTGGGACACTCAGGGAGTCCTCACCTTTTGGCCCAAGTACCAGGTACCAGATAGCAGGGTACTGTGGGGCCATGCCCTCTCAGCAGGAGGTGTCCATCCCTTTACAGGGTTTCAGGTGAAGACCCTTGCCTTAGTCGTTATTGGACTTGGTTTCTCTGATGTTATTTTAATATACCCATGTGTCTCTACATTTGTAATATACCCCAGTAAACGGGTATATGGTAACGCTCTCCTTCTTTTCCCAGTCTGTACTGGGTGAGTACTACCTGACTAAATAGGCCCAGCTTTCTTCTGAGGTTACACAGGCTCTGTGGCCAACCTCTCTCCCTCAATGTGTAGCCAAAAGCTACTTGTATAATGGAGTCAGTCTCCTAGGGCAAGGCACAGCTGTTTTGTACAATAGGACAAACAAAATAAGACATAGGCTGACTTCAACGCACATATTTAATGTATATTCTTTTCCTTGGCTACTTAACGAACAATGATAAGAATGATGTGTGGCTGGTTGTGAGCATGAACCTATGATGAGCCAGAATTCCTGAGGCAGGACATTGTCTTTTGATGTCAGAAATGTAAACGAGCTGCAAAGAGAGGTGTGAGGCAAATCAGCACAAGTTTGGGGATAAGGGAGGTATCTTGATACTCCATGGGGCTTTAGTCACTTCCCAGAGGGAATGGAAGGGGTGAGTTTTGTTTTTAATTTTAGTACTTAATGCTGATACTACAAAATCTGGCGTATATGAGCTGGAGAGTTGGCTCAGTGTTTAAGAGCACTGGCTGCTCTTTCAGAGGTCCTGATTCAATTCCCAGCATCCACATGACAGATTACAACTATCTATAACTCCATTTCTAGAGATCTGATGCTCTCTTTTGGCTTCCACCATGGCACCAGACATATATGAATGCTGCACAGACATAGATGTGGGCAAAACCTTGCGCATATAAAATTTACAAAATTAAATGCATTCAAAATCTGCAGCATACAAAATTTAAAAAGGATAATATCCAGTATGCATTTGCCACTTTAATTACTGCTGACCCCTCAAGCCACTTTGGGCCCCTCCCCAGTCCCATACTCCCTCCTCTTTCAAGGGAAATCAAGAATTTCGAATTTTTGCTAATCATCTCATTACTTCATTTATAATAACTTTGTCATATTTGTGCATGATCTTAAATGATATGCTGCTTAGCTTTCTTTGATATGGGACTTTATAAAAAGTCCATTATGTCATATGCTGTATAAATGGGACTTAATTTTTTTTATTTGATACGGTGTTCTAAGGTCTACTCAGATTGTGGCTTTTAGCTCCAGTTGATTCTGTTTCTTTATCTTCCCATTTTAGTGCTGACCCACGACCTTGTGCACATGAAACAAAAACCCTCCCACTGAGCTACGCTCTTTCCTCCCTTCTTATCAGAGAAATATTCAATGTTGTGATTTTTCTTTCCCCCATGTTAATTTGAAGTTCTTATCACAGAACATTCAGGTTAGCTTATTTTTTTTTGTATGTATTGGGAGTCATGAAACTCGAAATAGTGTAGATTATTCCCACACACATTGTACAGACAGCACAATGAAATGGTCTTCACTGTGGAATGGGATGGGATGGCACGGAATGGGATGGCTG